GTGGCTTAGGAACAAAATAAGCCTAAGATCCTTCTTTGGCAACTTCCTAAATCGTCTAAAGTATCTTAGAATCTTTAAAGATCTCCTATGACCTTCTAAAACTTTTTTAGAATCTTTTAGAATCTTTTAGAATCTTCTCAAATCTTTTTTAGTTGTATCTCAATGACATGAGCTAGCAAAAAAACAAGAGCACCAAAGTAGATGAGAGATTATTTTACAAGATTCATGACATTATTAAATCTAGAACCATCAATATATTATGAGGTAGTATATCATAAGAAATAGATAGAAGCTATGTAAGATAACATGAAATCCATACATAAAATTGAAATTTGGTATCTTACAAATCTTCTCCATAGAAAATGTGTTATATCTACTAAATGGATTTTTATGGCAAAATTCAACACTCATGGATCATTGCAAAAATATAAATCCAAACTTGTGGCATGGGATTTTGAACAAAGGGAAGGTATAGATTATGAAGAGACCAATTATAAAATCAGCAACTATTAAAACAATAATATTAATTGCACCTCAAAAAGATTAGAAATTATATCACATGAATGTAAAAATAATATTTCTTCATAAAGATATGAAAGGAGAGGTTTATGTTACTCAACCATAAGGTTTTGAAATATTTGGTTAAAAAAAAAAAATTGCAAGTTATAAAAGATATTGTACACTTTAAAACAAGCACTACAAATATGGTATGAAAAAATACACTTTTACTCAAAAGAAATGGGCTTTCAAGAAGATATGGGCAATCATAACCTATATTCAAAATTATTGGAAGATAAAATTATTCAAATTGTATTATATGTTAATAATCTTTTGATGATTGGAAATTATACAATAAATATGAATACCTTTAAAAAACAATTACATGATTACTTTGAGATGTTTGAATTATTAAGAGGAGAAGTCATTCTTCATTTAAAAGTAAAATGCATAAATGACAAAGAAAGAATGTTCATAATAAAAAATACCTATATATCAAATATCTTAGTAATTTTTAGTATGGAAAGTCATATATCAGTGACAAAGCTATAAATAAGAAAATTAAACTCAAAATTGATATGAAAGAAGAAAAAGTGGATCCAATACAATATTAGAGTATTGTAAGAAAATACCTATATTCGATATATACTCATCTTGACATATAATTTACAATAAGAATAGTAAGTTATTTTATGACAAGTTCTCAAAAATCATACTTACTAGCTGTAAAAAGAATCTTAAAATATATCAAGAACAATGAAGATTATCAAAAATTAATCAAAATCATCTCATTGGATTTGTAGATTTTGACTAGATAGGAACTTGGAACAAGCATGATCAATAATTAGTTTTATTTTTAGTATAGAAAATACACCTATGTCATGGTTATCAAAAAAAAAACAACAGTAGTCGTATCATCATTTGAAACTAATTACCTCCATACTACTAAAAGATTTATATATAGAAATCAAATAATGAACAATTATTCATTCTAATAATATAAGAAGTATCAATATTGCAAAAAATCTAGGAATTAATTCCAAAATAAGACATATAGCACCACATTATCATTTTATCATAGAAAAAATTAAATTTAAAGAAATTAGTCTTTAATATATATCAATCTTAGAACAAGTAGCAAACATATTTATAAAGCCAATAGAATAATTCTTATTTGAAAGTTTTAGAAAAAGAATAAATATGGTTATGACATTCAGATATATTATTATATATTATTAGAGGCATAAAAATTTTAAAAAATTAAAAAAAAATAATTAAATTAAATCTAATATATATATTATTTTATTTATAACCTATTTTTAAAGGCTTTATACCTAGCATTTTTGAATCTTTTAACTTTGACCTTACATTCTATTTAAGTCTTATAAAATTTGGGATGAAATCCAAACTTAATAGTATAATATTTTTGATTATGATGCACTATAATTTCTTCTTAATCATCATAACAACTGCATACTCTATGAAGTTGAGAAAGAACTTGAACTTTAAAAACATATTTTACCATAGAAACATCTCTAATATTGCTCTGACTAAAAACCCTCATACAAATAGGAAACAAACAATTCTCTAATCTCTTCACCATCTATTTGCAAAGATTTGTCTCAAATATAAGCAAAACCTAGATGACTAGCCAAAAAGATCAACTTTGAGAAACCAGAACAAACTTCTATTTCAAAACAATTGCAAGGAGAAATTACACAATAACAAATAAATACTTAAACCTACTAATAAATTATAATAATTTTTAGCTCATGCACTATTATATAATAATAAAATCATTAGATAAAATATATATATATATATATATATATTTTTATAAAAGAGCCTAATTAAGAAGATATAATAAAAAAATATAGAAGAAGGTAGATTAGAAAAATAAAAAATATAAGTATATATATATATATATATATATATAAATTAAAATTTTATTTTAATAAAAATTATTTCAAAAAAATAAGAATTGATAACTAGAGAAGACTGATTACTGACTAGAGTCAAAATCAGACCTTGAAGTACAAAACTAAGAACTTATGTTGTTTTTGAGGTTCTTTTATAAATCAAAGAGCAAGATTTGAGAGAAAATGGGATTAAAATTCTTTGAATGTTAATTTTGAAGAATTTGAGTATGTAATGCCTTTATAAGAGCTTTGAAAAATGAGGGTGGTTTTACATGACCCTAGTTTTTGGAAAATAAAATAGAATTGGCATTTTAAAAATTTTCATAAGTTTTATAATAGATCTATAAATAAAAACTTGAAAATTAGTAAGTATAGTTGTGCTAAATGTGTGCTATGAATTTGAGCTTAATCAAATGGTTAGGTTGAAGGTTATTGAAGTTCAAGTAGATTAAGATTTCAAAAATTGGAATTTTAGGATTACTAAGAGTTTCTAAGTTTATTAGCAATTTGTCCATTGAATTGAAGTGAAGATTGTTTGTGTAGATAGTAGACTTAATTTTAAATATTTTTATGAAATTTTAGAGGAATTTCATGGTCTAGAAAGGAGATATTGGCATTGACAGCTCAGTATCAAGGTTGAAAAAGGAGGCCATCCATCATCCAAATGGATTATCTTATATTTCTCTCAATTTGTAAGTACAATTAATCTCATTTTTCTTATGTTTGTTTCCAATTGAGTTCTTCAAAAGTGTACAAATTTTGAATCAATATCAATAATTCAATCATTAGTTGGTGAGATTTCCATCTATTATAAGGTTTGTTAAGAATTTGTTGAGGATTTAGGATTTGATTAGGTTAAATCTAAGATTTAAGGTTTACTTAAGACTTATTCAGGATTTGTTTAGGATTTGATTAAAATTCATTAGAATTTTGTTAGAATTTCATCAAGGTTTGATTAGAATTTCTTCAAGATTTAGTCTAGAATTTTATTAGGATTTAAGATTTAATTCAGATTTCATTAGGATTTATTTAGGATTTTTTTAGGATTTCATTTAGATTGATTGGGGATCATATTAAAATTTATTTAGGATTCAATTATGGTTTTTATTTTTAATAATTTTTAAAGATTTTTTTGTTATTTTTTTAGGATATTTTTAATATATATATTTCTTTAAGGTTAATTTATGATTTCTTTACATTTCTTTTGTAAGTTCTTTAAGATTCTTTTGGAATTTAATTAAAAAATGATTAGCATTATTATTATTTAATTAGAATTTATTTAAGATTTTATTACAATTGTTAGGATCTTATTATTGCAAGTTCTATTTTACCTTCTATAGCCAAATGTTTGGTGCATTCTTAAACTTCACAAAATACGATAGCATTATCAATTTTTTACTTTCTTGCCGATTTCCACAAATAATAAAGCAAACTTCAAACTGAGACCTCCACACAACTTTTTATAGTTAGCATGCAACCTAGAGCCTCTAGAGCAAGGGAGGGTGTTGAATACAATGGATAGTCACCTTGTCGGCTAGACACCCCTTGAACATGAACATCAATATTGCAGATGTTATAATCATAGATAGTTATCATTGAGACATAGTTCTAGACACTCGTTGATACATCAAATGGATATCCATCCGACTAGAGTAACTTATTCTGTATAAAAACAATGCGTGCGATAAAATCTATAGTTCACTCTTCTTAGCACCTGTAGTGGTGTCACTGCTGATTCTTGGATAATTGTTTGCTCTTGTTATTCTGTGTGTTTTTTACAATGATCTACAATGGCTCATAGGCACTAGAGATTGGTCTGTAGTTTCTGTTATCAAGTACTATGGATTGATAGAATGTGATTCAATAGACAATCCTACGAAGGTCTCTGTTTCACTCTTGTCTCTCTTTCACTCTTGTGACTCATAGGCACTAGAGGTTGGTTAGGTCTTTGTGGGTGAGACACTTGCTCCTGAGTGCCAAAATTCTTGAGTTTCTTCTCTTAATTTCTATGCCGACTTTACCATACACTTAATTGCATTTGGATCTTCTCTGTCCCGGAGTTTGTCTCACCTTGTTGTATTACTGTGATTAATCGCTGGGATCAGCGAGTAGCTAGATGCGTTGGCAAGTCCTTCAGGAGCACGTATTTTCATCCATATTGAACATTGATTTGCTGCTAAGCAGTCTTTTTGGACACATTTGTATCCTTTAGTGTCTATTTACTATAGACAACAAAATGACAAATACGAGGGGCATTAATATGCTGCGACAACTTTAGACCGTGATCACTCATCTTCAACGACAAGTGACCGTTCTACGAGTCTCTCGTCTCATGACATTAGTTCCGGTTCGCCAATTGATGTTGAGTAGGTGAAAAGACAGGTTCGTCAAGTCTTGAAATAGTGATATTCGCATAGAGGAAATTTCAAATACTGGGCTCAAAACGAGTATAAAATGTTTAGAAAGCACTTGTAATTCTGCACTTATTTGAGGAACCCTGTATAAGGGCTGTTACCATTCCAAATTCAACCTAATATGTACCAGGCAATAGGCAATAAATCTAATCACAGTAGAAAATGAATCTGCATAAGACAGAAGTTTGGATCAGCAAGTTTTGGACCTCTGATATACTTTATGTCATACATCTCCAGGTTACAGGATTTGTGTACTTCCAACCAGCCGGTGTCAGAGCTTCCAGGACATGTACATACGTCTATCTTTAGATTAAAGAAAACTGCTTCCAGATTTCTTCACACGAGCTGCCACTTCTTCGAAACAAATAGGGTTCAGACAGGTGAAAGATGTAAGAATGGAACAAGTGATTAGCCGGAAAAAAATAAAAAATAAAAAATAAAAAATACTGGACAGCTACTCTGTACGTTGGACTGCTAAAGTTTACAGCAGACATCCTTCGATCAATAGTTGGCTCACCAATTTCCATGTTGTGCAAGTCTTTTCAACTTAGCCATTCTCATGAAATAGTTGGCCACCTCTGTTGACATGATCCCACTGTTCGTACATACCAGCCTGAGGCAAAGGGGCAGAGCTTCTGTCTCCTCGATCACCATCAGACGGTAGTAGAGAGGCTTTTCTGTCATTATTCAGGAAAGCCCCTGTATCTAGTTCGCCTGAAACCTCTGGATGTTGACGTGTACTTCCAGATGTGCAACGATCTGACGTAGCCTGTGCTCCTGTACCTTGCACCTGAGCATTCACAGGAGTACTTGTATTGTTTGCTGGCAGAAAAGCTTGGTTACCGAAGACCGCCTGGGGAGGGAGTTGTGGAAATGATTGTTGATTCAGAGGGTCTTGAGTATAAGATCCTCCATTCTGACGAGGAGAAAAAGTCGCACCAGACTGAAAGTCGGACTGAGTGGGGTGGAAAGCTCCACTCACACAGCCCTGGGTTTGTCCTGGTTGAGGAATCCCTGGACCTTGCTGAGTTGCTAGTTGTCCAGTCTGAGGTTGGCCCGCTCCATCCTCTATTCGAATCCGTTTAGATGGACCCTGAACAGGCGAGCCTTCGGGCAAAGGTGGGTTCATGAAAGTGCCATACGCATACTGATTCTCTGAAAGCTGCTGCGAGAGGAGGATAGCCGCCTGAGGGAGTCCCAAGCCGCTGCTAGACACGGGCGCAGTAGCAGCGCTATTGGAAGTAGGGGTCTCACTTGTTGTAACAGGCGCTAAGGGAAGCTTTGGCTTGGCATCAACAACCGACACCACCTGTCTTTGATTCGCCTCTTCTGCTGCGGGAGCCCCAGTTTCAGTAGTACCCTGAAGATTAGTAATAGAACCAATTCTTTGCTGCTCTTCGATAATTTTTTGGAGGTACTTCCCTTGTGCCTCAATCCGTAGCTGTAAATGCCGTTGCACCTGTAAACGAGGAAGCATCTTCAGTGCAATTGGCAATCCACAGATGGCCAAAACCATTCTACATCTATCAGACTTCAACTGATCACACGAAAAGAGACATAACAGTGCAACTTCAGGGAAGTAACATGCAACATACAGGAGGTCAAACACAAACCTCAAGCTGCTCATGCAATCGCTTCTGTACTTCCATTTGCATGCGTAAAGCCTCAGTAATCTGAATCCCCCTGTGTTACAAGAAATTTTATTAATAGATTTCCTAAGTATAAACTGGTACTGGTATTCTTGTGCAACATCACGGCTCACCGCTCCACAAATTCTCAGACAAGATACAAAGAGAACAACATTAGGACAGCAGCTTACGAAGTTGCATCCAAAGTAGGAAGGACATCAGCCGGGTTTTTCTTCTCTGACTTTCCTCCTGTTAAAATCCACAACAATCTCATCATCGACCAACATAACAGTAATTCTTAGTTCTCCCGACCAACATAACAGTAATTCTACATCATAATGCAATATCGGCCTACAGAACCATGAACTGCACTATCACCAGTGAGTGCTTGCTTCCCTCGATCCTGATACTTCATCCATTTAACATACGCCCTACAAACAAATAAGAATGACGCAAATGATGAATGAAAGTGATTATTGCATCCTGTAAGGACCTCTAAACACAGGCGACTCACCATCTGACGAAGACTCAGGAATATACTTTGCAAGACGATATTTCTGCGGACACGTAAGGTACCAGATTAGAAAACCTCACGCCTCTAAGAATTGGCAATCACAAGGCAGTCGCCAGAAAATATACAGGAAATCACCGATGCTTTTCTACATATAATAGAAACCTATCGTGCCAACAAGAATCGCACACATTTACATCAACTCAATTTCTTCCAGCCCGGCAGGTGCAACCTCAAATGTGAACCATTCCTCACATGTGACAGCGAAACACATTTGCATGAACTTGGGGAAAGAGGAGTAACCTGTAAGTGACTCTTCACATGATAAATAGTTAGGCCTTGCACGCCCATAACTCTCAAGACCCCTTTCGGAGTTGCCCCTGCCATGTGATACATGTCATATGAAATGGTCAGAAGTCCCGACATCGTCCAAAAGTTCGCAGTGAGATCAAAGAGTGGGCCTCCCCCAGAAAGCGATAGCACTCACTCGTGGCAGTTGACATATCTGCTACATGAATGATTGGGACATAGCTGGTATGGTTTGAATGCAGAACCTACTATTTCAACGGCGATAGCTTCGACAACAAATAAGGTGTAACTAACACAAGGGGGAGGATGAAGTAGAGATAATCTAGTCGTCCTACTGATAACAGTGAAGAGACTAGAATTTCAGAGTAGCATGCGGTAAGAATGAAATCTGAAGTCAAATGAGGATAGGATATTCTAGTAAGTCTCCGACATTGCCAATTTGCTTCTTTGCTTGCCCACCTTTCCTCTGGACCAAGTCAAGAAATAGATGAACAGGAAGAAAACTTACGATCAGGGCCGCCCAACTGAGTTACGGCATCCACAAAACGGTCGTGCAGCTCAGGCGTCCATCGTAATCGCTGCTTTGCTGCTGAGCCACCACCTCCAGAGCCCCCACCCGGACTGCTGGCCGAATTGGTAGAGGCTCCAGTTGCACTTGACCCTCGAGGCTCCGGTGCCTGACTAGCAGACCTCTGGGGCATTAAGCTGGTTGTAGAAAACTTCTTGTTTTGATACATCGTCTGCATTAAAAAATCAACACCATTCTACTAAAATGAGATGCATATGCTCAAGCTCGTTATGATGTGAAACAATTGCAGTTTTGAACAACAATTCAATGGGAAACCAACCATTGGAGGCAGGTCCGATCATCACCATAATGGTACCACTGCGAACTAACAAAATCTGATCAAACATTCAATCAACAAAAAAGTTAACTGTAGCTCTAAAAGAGAACCAACATTCGCACTGCACTCCACGACATTGAATTTAGAGGTTAATCACTCACAAGAAAACTTTAAATTTAGGCGCTAAAATTGCGCCTACACAGAGCGAGTTTACATCAAGCAGAGGAACACTATCAGACAATAAACATTCTGGTACAATTCAATGCTGAAATAAAAACTAACGGTACTATTCCGAGCAAATGAAGGTAGTTCAGTAAGCAAAACAAAATCAAGACGACCCCTGGTAGGGTTCCAGTACTAACCTCAAATTTAAAGCTCACGTCACACGAGCCCGTACCATGAGCAACGGCAGATTGCGTTATACGAAACCTTGCAGTAATCGATAAGGGCAGGGAAAATAAAAACTTGTCTCTCTTCCAATAAAGGAATAAAAAATAGAAGTAAAATAAGAACTTCAACAATAAAAACTGTCGTTGTAAATAAACCCAGCCTCGCCTTGGAGAAAACAGCCCCTTGTTGAGAAATCAAAGACCCACTCGCTCCACAATCACATCCTTCATACATCATCCATGGCTTGAAACGCGCCTTGCCAAGCCAACAAAGCCTCACACTTTTTCCTTGTGACCATCGAGGTCTCCAGCTCTCCGAGCTCAAATGCCCTGCTTTCTCAAATCCAAGCACAGACAACCTTCCATGCCCCGAACAATAGCCCGAAATGCAAATCTTTCGACATTCAAAAGCCTCAGAAATCGCGCATTCCCGACCATTCAACAAAACTTTTGCGCCAGATACAATCCCCGCCACTGTTTCACTCTCCCACCTCCCCTCAAATCCCAAAGATCTGTATGTGCACTCCACCACTCAATCCAACTAAATCCCTGTCTCAAACTCCGAATTCTAGCTGCTAAACCCTAGAAGAGCATCAAAGAGATGAGGGAGAGAACGAAGTGGCAGTTAATGACGATGATATAACAGCAATCTCTCCGGCCTTGTTCAAGGACTTACTAACGACGTCGTAATGACGATGATTGTACAAACAAAGCACCAGAGCAGCACTGCACACGCCTGTAATCAGTAACACCCGTTTCTTTATGAAGATGAGACTATGAGCATCAAGCGGCGAGAAGAAAAGCGAGAGAAGAGGAGAGAATGATCTTCGAGGACCCTCCGCCCTTGCAATGACCGCCTGTTGACTGACTACTTCCCGCCAGCATACTACTCATTTAGCAACTTCTGTCTTCCTTCTCACTGCCATCGTCGGAGCCCAGTCCAGCCCCACAACCCCCACCTCATCAGCTTCACCCTCGCCCCACCTAGGCCCTGACCAGCTCTATAGCTCCGGCCCTAACCTCCCACGGCAGGTCTAGACTCTAAACAATGCACAAGCGTGAAAACAGCGCAGTCAACTTGCGAATTCACTCAAACAATCGCCGACGCCTGCAGTCATTAAGTCGGGAACGGCCATTTTGAATTACGGTCCCTATTACTACTCATCAACGTCTGATTGGTTAGATATTGGATGTCTACACTTGACTTCGGGCTGCTGCATTTCTGTACACTTTTTCGTCCTGCTGGCGGTGCTGCGGTGACATGGGACGTGTGGGACTCGTGCGAGAATAGTGAGCCTCAGGCAGGCTCGAAGGCCTCCCTTCACTTCCCGCCACTCCCCCTCTCCCACGTCTACCTTCCTACAGCTCTATGATTGAGTGCTGACAGCAACAGGGAACCTCTGCTTTCGTGCACTGCAACTCTGTAATTCCCTTCCTCGAGCCTGCACTGCTCTGTGCTACGAGAGCCCTGGCCCTGACATCCGTAGAGTCATCCCAGAGAACCACGCCATATGTCTGCTTTCGAGTTTGTTATCCCAGTCCAACACATGATGAGACCATGACGATAATAGTCTGTAAATCCTCGCCTTCTCTTCACTTTCCCAGACCTAAAAGACCCCAATATGTATACATCTATTGTGGAGTCTGCAAGTCCGCTCATCGTTGATCGCTCTGCGCAGCATTGTGCAGTCACTGGATGTCAGGTCGGTTCCCTGCCTCCTGGTGCATGTGGTCTCAGTGAATGTGCGCATATTGTAAAATGAGCTGGGCATTTGTAATGTACTACTCATCTCCTCGAAGGAAAACCTAAGCTGAAGAACAGATTATATGCGGCGAGGGAGCCACTACAGTGAGCACTATAACACAATCCATAAATTCAGTGTTGAATGGAGCTCGGAAAGAGATGATGGAACCCTGGATAGGAGCGATGCTGTAGAAGCCCCCGACCACTAAGGGACTACGAGGTGCTCGTGGCGTCCAGACGGGAATCCGTTCGGTCAGCATGCTATACGATTCCGACCTCTGGTTCCAACGAGTCACCAGCTTCAGAAACATTGGTATCATAGGCGTTACCACAGCAGAGGAGACTCGGGCCGTCTCCTCAGCAAGTCCTAGGCATGCCCTGTGTGACGTAGGTGCGTCCAGCACGCGCAACTCATGGAAGGCTACTGCCTGTGAAACTGTCTACGTGTACATGTCATCTGCTAGGAATACATATATATACCGTGAGCACGATTGAGAATGTCATATTTCACAAAACTACTTTACCACAAAGCTTGTGGTTCTTCAAGTAATGCAGGCACTTTTCCAGAAACAGTACCACATGCATTCAACATTTGAAACAAACTTCATTTCATAGGCCCTGGGGTTCTGCTTTGCGACACGCAATGCATCGTTCCCTACATCAGATGCAATATTTCTTGTAGAATCGAAAGCACCTTCTGCGGTTGATGATAAGTTCTCTAAGTCAAAGCGGGGTACACATTACTACCACGTTTCCTTCTTTCCACAAAGGCTGTAATTGAGCATAACCGGAAGCTTACATTCACATTCAGAAGTTGATTCAATACCGTTAGCACCAACTCAATTCAAAATTGGAAATATACGCCTTAAATTTAATCTTTAGTCATTTGCAGATCTATGTAATAATAAAGTCAGATATTATGATTGCCCGAAATATCTCGAAGTTGTGACGTACCGCCAGGTATGAGCAATTTACATTGCGTTGACAAACCTAACAAATTACAAATAGCAGGTACAGAGTATCAGAGGACTGTTCTACTGAGACCACATGCAATTCGCAGTTGAGTGACTACAGGACAACATTACTACGAAATAACCAGGGATTTGAACTCTTACCCCCCCCCCCCCCACACACACACACACACACACCTTCATTCTAGAGAAGGAACAAAATTCTGAACACTACCAACCACTAAATATCTTCAAATCACTTCTCAACTCAACGAAATTTCTATTTGATTGAGAGCTGCTAGCTGCACTGCTACTCCACAGGAAGATTGAATAAAGCCTCCAAAAAATAGTCAAATACAGTGTCCCACGAGAAATCCAGCATCCGTTCGTGAAAGCCGTGCTGTGATCGAAACGAGGTCTCATCCAATAAAGCTATAGGTTCAGAAAACTGAACACAAGACTGTTGGCTGGTAAAGCAAGACTATAGACTCATTAGTTGTGCATGCGGAGAACTGCACAAAGACACGTATGGAGAAGCCAAGCTGTGTAGGAATATTCAAATTCCATGATGATGCGTAAAAAGAAGAAAGGTGATAAATCTTCAAGGACGAAACCAAAACTAAAGAGGACAATAAAATGGTGCCTATCAATATGTTCATCTCAACTATGCAAGGTTCTCACCAGAAGAAAACTTAGCATTGCAAAATTTTAGGCAAATGAATTTTGAACTAACCAAATAGAACATTACGTACACCTTGCTACAGGCAGCTTCAGGAATTATTTGGCTGGACAATAGCATGAACAACGAACTCTTTCGGAAGGTTATGTTCAGATTCTGAATCTCCATTTGATACTTCAAAAAGATAACTGGAAAAATATCCGCGAGGTCTCCTAGTGATTGCCGAGCACCTGTAAAGAGCATACAGTTCATGAGACAAATGAACAAGTACTTGCATCTAAAACTACTCCATCAACCAGTATTTCTCTACATAAAACTCAGGAACAGCAAATGAACCACTTAACAATTGCAAGGCTCCATCTACCAATGAGTCCCACATGAATCGTTTACTTAACTCGATAACTGACCATGGGCAGCAAGCAGTAAACAATCTTTCACAAAAAAGAGCCCGATGGGCATGAAAATACCCTTATAATAATAATAATAATAATAATAATAATAATAATAGTAAAACAACTCAATTGGTAGTAATCTAATGAAAAGCAACTTGAATTGTCTTCTACTCTCCTTTGGTCTCAGATTCATGTCAGTTGGATAACATTAGAGAAATGTCAGCGGCAAGTACCTTGAAGTCGCAACAGCAAAATTTCAGCAAACGCTAAGTAAGGCACACATTGAAGAGGCACCGGCTTCATTTAGTCAGATTCCAATAGTAAAACAACTTAAAACTAATCCACGCTCTCGCAACTTGTAAATCACGCATAGAACCGTTCCAAGTCCTCGACGTTAAAGTCAAAACCCTTGATAGCCAACGCGCTCCTCTTAAAAGTCTACTACTCGCCACTTACGCTTCGAATATTAGTATACTATATCTCCTTGCCGACAGTTATTGACTTCGTTAAGGGCACAAAAGTTCATGTTCCAAGATTAGAAATTGTGTATCAGCATCTCTCTTGACGGCAAACAGCTGTCCAGGACACCGAATCACAAGTGAAAGCCTATGTAAAGTCCAATTCGAAATAAAACTTACAATCGCAACTAACCCTTCATCTGGTCAGTGGTATTTATGTATATTCGATAAGCATCATCAGTAATCGTTTGTCAAGGTCCAGACACTGATCGAGCCTCTCAAACGCAGAGCCATTCAAGACAACTCGGCGACAATAGCTACCCGACAATTTTCATAACAGCATCTGCCTAAATCTGCACTACCCGCACTTCGTGGATAATTACACATCCGACAAGCAGAAGAAGGAATCATACAGTCAATCCTTCAGAAAGATCAGTAATAGTAGTTGACTGGACCTACTTGAAATCCAAGTACCGCCACACTTTGATACTGTTCATTTGTCAGCGTTGCTCATCCATCCATATCACCTCTGTTAGAATCCTCGAAGAAGAACAGGATAAATCTTGCCAAAGTTACTTCTCTGGATGGTACCGAGAAACAGGCACATACTGAAACCCTACATAACAAACTATCGCCGAGTTTTGGCACGCTTCATTCCTGGATTGTTGAAAGGAGATGCTGTGCCACTCATATGAGCTAGACCCTCCTCACGTAAAGCGCCATTTAATGTAGCTAGTTCACGGAGCTGAGCCTTCTTTACGGCATCAAATGATTCATTCTGGAGAAATCTCAAGCCAACCCACTCATGTGAGTATTCATTCATGACACGACTCAAATCGAAAAGGTCAAGGTTCAAACTGGACAATTACAAAGAATACAGTTGGCAGACAAAGGGCATCATCTTAAAACAAACGTTTCTGTGTGCCTGCGTTCAGTTGGTTAGTTAAGAGCAAGGCATGCGCTTACAACTGGCTTGAGCAAGTCATGGAGGATCTCCCGTGCACGACTAAGTTGTACATCAATGATATTAGCTGGAAGTTCTGCCTCGACCAAAACATGCAAGGGTTCATTCAAATGCTCAAAACCAGGTTTATCCCTCATTTTGTCTTCCTGCACAGTATCATACCCACCAACCAAGAAGAGTCCCATCAGCTACTAGTACGGACTCAAAAGGGAACAATGCCTTATGTAGGTGAACTCCTGGTCAAAAGATAACTCGAAACTACAGCACCTGCTTGCGTCATCACACCAAAGAGACACTCATAAGAACTGCAAGATTTATAAGAGAGACACCCGATTGCAACTTCAGCAACTTTCAGAAATATTATGACCTTCGCTATGTCTTTAATGGAACCCCGACCACGGATTAATACACGGCAGCCAGTTGTTGCCTCCACTCGTTTAAGAGAGTTTCCTCGGGGTCCCAAAATCCTCCCAACGAAATTATACTGCAAAACGGAAACATCGACCACATCGGCGTGAATGACCAGGAGCTTGTGGGCAGTTTGTAAGCATAAATGAAGCTTCAGAAATACAAAAATTCACTTTCATAGTGAGCGTTGGCTTCAGAGGATGCACCCATTCATTTTCTCAGAGAAGTTTTCATTGCTTTAGTCCTAAGTCAAAGCGTAAATTAATTGATCGAATGCGCTTTACTTTTTGGCATCAATCAGACACAAATAGTGTCCGAAGGAAAACGGCGAGTAAGCACTGCTCACACGCTCACCACCAGAATTCGAGAAGCCAACATTGAATAGGTTCCATCCAAGGGAACTATAGTGATGGCTTAAAGATGCGACTTCAGACTTGTATTTATACAGTGCCACAACATCAACTACCAAAACTTTTTCAGATGTTGCGACTTGTTTCATACATTCGGGTACTTATCAATTGGAATGTCGATGCGTTGAGTCTTCTTCAATATTAGCCCGGCGGATGCGCCAGGAGTCCCATGCCAACCTACCTGAGGTATTACGAGCCTCTGGAGTATCACATCCACGAATAAATGAGATTTTTTGGAAATCAGCTGTAGAGGAAAAGAGCAATACAAATAAAAGAACCAGCCTTGACGTGCTAAGCGAAATGATGCACCACATTTATTGCCCAACACTAGAGTAGTAAGGACCATACTTCGCCCCAGCCATTTAAGTCCCCCGAACCACCGTCATTTAAAGGTGTGCCTACTGGAAGAGGGCTTCTATGATCCAGCCCATCCTGGTCGAGATAAGGCAATTTCCCAACAAGAGTTGTTACTCGCATTATCTCTGTTCCGTAAAGAGTCAGAGGTTAGAGTTGGACATGTGCAATGCTGAGGTATATCGAGCATACACTGGTTTTAAGCATGAGGATACATGAATCTTCCAGTTGTTGCATGCAAATTTGTGAATAAAAAACGCATTTAAAGAGTAGTATGTTCAGTTAGCAGGTATCGTCTGAAAGAACAGCATAACAACTCAAGAGGATGATAAAACCGTATAGAATAGAATAAATTTACCTTGATTTAACAAACGACTACAATTGGGAAGGACTTGCATGAAAGGACACAAATTCTGTCTCTCCGCAAGCAGTTCAGACAGATACCTGCGCACCAATTGAAAGATCTCTTCGTCAAAAGGATCTATGAATGTAACATTAGAATACCTGCAAATTCTACACCGCAACCCCAATTACTAAGGACCATCCTACATCTTTGATGAAAGAAAGAAAGAAAAAATAAAAAAAATAAAAAAGGCCGCAACATTAATGATTTGAAGTCTCGTCAGGAAAACTATGTTTAATCTCCACGTAAATTGGCTCTTGAAACAGTGGTTGCATATTGGGATTCGGAAGGACGGGAAAGGATATGTACATTCCTAAAAGTGCAATGAAGAATACTCCTGATGAATTTATCCAGCCGAGAATCCAATATCAGACTGTATGCTAAGTGAAACCCTAACCTTGAGAATCAGTTGGCAGGTATATCGGACAGTAACCTCCATGACGACAAAACGTACTGGCGGGATAATATATAAGCAACACGCTATATGCAGTCGAGATGGACAAACAATGCGATACAGAACACAAGCCGAACAAAGCGGAAACGAAAGAAACGTCGAACGGAGAGAGCAGCAGCGCAATCATACTTGTCGTGATCAACAGCAGCAGTGGAGGAGCGAATGACTAGTTGTGGAGAGCCCCCTGCCGATGGTGAAAAGTGCATATAGCGGCCTGCCATCCTTCTCCTCCTCCCCCAACCGTTGGAATCCTGGCTTCACCCTGCAACCTTCTCCCACACCCACTTCCAACTCCTACTTCTGTTCAACTAAGAGCTGGCCAACTCATGAAAATCCTCAGTCCTGGCACAGTCGGTACACGCCCCAGCGACAACAGAACAAGCTGGTGGTGCAGGAGTCAACATTGTTGGTGATGGCACAAAGGCCTTTCGTCAACAACAGTTCAGAGCTATAGCATGGAATGAGAGACGAAGAAAACGGAATGATTCGAGACAAAGAAGAGGAAGAAGAAAATTGGTGAGGAATTCCTCCAAGTACCCGGACTGACTGACTGAAAAGGAGAGGCGATGATGAGGAGGGGGAGGGGGAGGAGTAGGGGTGTCGAGGCAGAGACGACGGGGGAGGAGGAAAAGGGAAAGAAGAGCGAAGAGGAGGAATAGGAAGAGCAAGGGGAGCAGCAGCAAGAGGGAGCCATTGTGGGAGGGAGAGGTGATGGCTATGGCGACCAGGCTGGGCTGGGTCTCATGGAACCGTACACCAAGAAGTAGAAGAAATAGAAGAAGAAGACTGTGCCCCCCCCCCACACCCTACAAGAAGAACCTGAATACAAATGAGAGAGAGGGAGAGAGACTCATCCACCTGCATTACCTTTCTAAAATGCATTTGCACATGGTAGTGGGGCCTACTACCACAATTGCAAAATCAATTAGACAAAGTTATAATAGAATGCATTATATGAATCTAAAATTACATTTAAATATAATTTACTCGTTACAAAAATATATATATATATATATATATATATATATTTGACACAAAAATGGAATACACTCAATGTATTAATAGAGTGGAAAAAATTACAACAAACTACTTAATATTATATATCCAAAGGCAAAGTAAGAGTACCACAACACACAAGACAAATATCAAAACAAACTTATTTAGACTTTCACGTAAAATCACATTACATTGAAAACTTCTAGAGTTTAATTTAATTACTTTGTTATTTCTAGAACCAAATATATGTTTGATCATCCACAAGTTATTATGTTTCTTAAAACCTAAATGTATTGAAGAACTTGAAAATCATTTAAATAAAAAATATTTATTATAAAATTATAAGTTCTAAATTTAGATTTTGTAGCTAAAGAGTAAATTCAATAAGAAGGTGATCAAATAGTGCACTATCACCTTATATAAATTTGTCTAAAATTTGAGTTTTTTAGAAAAAAAGAAAATTTTAATAAAAATTTGTCTAATCTCATTAACACCCTTTTACCATTTTATTTATTATCCTTTGAATATTTTAATGAACAACCTTGTTTAAATGCATCTACTAATAAAATGTAAGAATAGAAATAATTCCATGAATTTTCTTGATTCTTAGAAAGAAAATTTTTATTGAAAGACAATTTATCAATCACCCGTTCTATCATATTCTAGTTACTACCAAAGACAAATGGAATATTACATGGAAATGTATTTGCCAAATCCTCCCATAGTTTGCATTTTTTTTTGTCACTTATTAGGTTCGTATATATTCACTATTCTAATAAAGTCTCCAAAGTTAGCTTGAAAAGTAATCCAAAAGGTTCTATTACACATGAAAGATCTTATATTATTAAAAAGATAATCTTTGGTGAAATAAGTGCAAACACTCCATGCAACCATACTGTTGAAGTTGGTTATATATTTAAAGATTGTTTTCAAAATGTAAAATCTACATTTAATTACAAAAAGTTGTCTAATTCTTAAGCTCTAAATCTATATATTTTATATTCTTAAAAAAAAATCACATTTTAAAAAAATTCATTGAATAAAATTTTATAATTTTAGGATCTTTGAAAAGTTATTTAGATCTTGATTATTATATATAAAATATATATATATATATATATATATATATATATATATATTCAACTTCAATATGTAATATTTGAAGGAGCATCACAACACATCATATTGATTTCTAGTTTTTTTATTAGACATCTAGATTTTTTTAAAGAAAAAATATCTTATTTACCTCTAAAATATATTAAAATATTAAGAATATTCCTATATTCTTGATAATAGCAAACCTATTCCTCATTTTTGTCATAATATCAAATCTATCCTTCAACTTAATAAGGTATCACAATTTTGTTTTTTAAAGTACAATTGAGAAATTAGCAGGCTTTCTTTTACACTTTTTGGCATATGAAATTGCTGTTGAATAGGACTAGCCATGCCAAGCTTACTTTTCTAAAATTTAGTGAACATCATTGTGGCATTAAGATTGATTCTATGAATCATTTAATCATTTGAATGTACAATAGCTTCCAACTTCATTAGATTGTTGTGAAGGTAAAGCAATGGAAATATGATTATATACCTTAGCCATTGCACTTTGGGCAAACATTAGTATTTTAGCTTGTGCATTTGCAAAATGTTATTGTAGCCAATAATTATAGAGGATTGTCAACAATTGAACTTCTTCTTGCTATGTTTGGGCCTTTTTTCCTTTATTTCTACCATCTATTCTAGAATTTTGTTTGATGCTTGCAAAAAATTTAGTAGTTGTTGCCATAGTTGTTGTTGATCCATACGTAAGTTGCGACCTCTATGGACTAGGGAATCTCCTCAATGGTATTGTGTCTTTCACATGCAAAAGTAATAATAGTCAATGTGGTATTGACGGGGCAGAGTTGCTTAACATTCAACCAAAGAAAAGAACCTAAGAAGATGTGCTTTCATTCATACTCTCATTCATAAGTATGCTTATAATAGATTGGTAGAGCAACACCTTGGTATTTCTAATTTTCCTAACAAAAACAATAGAAATTGCAAAAAGATCAACATCTAATGATCAATTTTGATCTTCTTTAGAAGAGTGCTAGAATCTATTGCTTATATCCTACCATATACAAGCAAGAATGGTTGTTCTTCTTCCAACTTAAATCCTAGATATAAAACTCCCAAAGGACACATCCTTAATATTAGACATATTTTCAAGAGTTATAGAATGAAAATCTACATTTATAACCGATTCTTATAAAAATCAATAGGCATGAATTGCATGATTGCCTTAAAATCTAGTATTATTGCAAAGATGGACATCATCATTGTCACTACTAGCTATATTCACCTAAGTTGCATTCTTTATTGTCCATGTTCACTTTCTTTTGGAACTAGAATTACATCATAGTATTATTTGATTGGATGTTACAATAGGACCATAATTGACAAATTGATTGAAATTATAAGTTGAATCATGTAATCAACCTTAATACCAAATTATATCAATAAAATACAGAAGAGAGCCCGCCAATTTCTCTGCAATATGAAGGTTGGGCCTCAATTCCACTTAAAAAAGAATAATTGTGATAACTTATCAAGTTAGAGGGTAGATTTGATCTTATAACAAAATTAAAGAATAAATTTGCTATTATCAAAAATATAAGGATATCCTTGACATTTCAACATATTTCAAAGATATATATGATTTTTTTTTTCAATCTATCAATAGAGATTTATAGTGATCAAACTTTTTCAAAGCTAGGAGTTTGGAAGAAAAAGAATTCTAAATTTTCTTACAATATTATTAAATACTTGAAAGACTATAAGAGGCATGGTTGAAGCTAATTCAATAGAAAAATAAATACTTGCATAAGAATGCACGGATGATAAAGTTCCTCTATTATGTAATGATAGATTAATAGAGTGCCTTTATTATTTTAGATGGATCTCAAATCAAGAAGTTTTCTTTGTTTAGTAATATTAAAAATCTCTAATATTGACTTATATCTCATCTTAGCTAATATTAGAGAATTTTTAGGCATGTTAAAAGCCATAATCATCAAAATTTTAATTTTAATCTTTTATTTCTAGAAATATTTTTATTTTTTTCTATCTATTGCCACTTCTAGAGATCCACTTAGCTCTGCCATAAAACTTATTTTGGAGTCTTACATCACTTTTGAAGAGAAATTGAGTGTAGAAGAGACATACACTTTTAATATTACTGTGGTAAGATTATGGTTTGCCAATACTTCTGACATGTATATTAAACCAATGAAGATCCTACATGCTTGGTTTGCTAGTCATGAAGGAAACAAGACTAAAGCATCTACATATTGATCTTTAATTGAAAGACCTAAAATATTGGGTATTGGATTTGGCTATATATTAATTTGTAACTAATAAATTAAATCTATCTTGTGCACAAAAGGCAAGATATTCAAATCTCTTAAGTAGAATCTTTAGCTAGATTGGCTAAAAGTGGCATAAAACTTAAAGCTTTTATAAGCTCACTTGAAATGTCAACTAAGATGCAAGATTTTTCCAAACAATTCTTTTTTATAGATTAAAAAAGAATGTGGAACTTTGCTAGTATCATCTTATTGAATGAAGAACCTTACTACAAAAAATAGCTATAAAATTAGTTATGACATAGTAAGTATAAGTCTATTGTTCTTTTTATCAAGCATCCGCAAAATCAGTCCTAACTAACTTTTAAAAAATCTTAAGAAAATTATTGAAAAATTCATTAGGAAACTTAAAAGAAATTCTTCAATAATCATATAGAAATTATAAAAATAAATAAATAAAGATAATCAAATACTTAATAAATTATAAAATTTTAAAACTATATTAAAGAAATATAAAAATCTTAAAGTAATCTTTAAAAAACTCAAAAGTAATTTTAAAAGAAACTTCAATGAATCTTAATCTATTATAAGTAAACACCACAAAAAATTTAAAAGTTCAATAATTTTTATACTAACCATCAATCTTAATTCAAATTTCTCAAAATCCTTGATTTATAAGTTAATAACAATCAAACTAAGTTCTAAAAAAATCTAACTTATAAATTAGAATAAATAGCTTAAAATCCACTTAGGTGTCAATTATTAATCTTCTCCAAGCTTAACATTAAACTTATAGCTTAAATATATCTCTCTTTAATTATTAACTTATTTTTAAAATATATATAAATTTTATAAACTCAATCAATCATCAACACACAAAACAAAATTTTCAATCCAATTGGCATTTTGTTTAAAATCTAGGAAATCTTCACTAACCTTGATAACTTAGTTCTAAGATCCTAATGCACTTGAATCTCAATTACTTTTGATTTGACCATTTGATTGAGCTTGAATTCATAGTCTCAATTCAATACAACTACATTCACAAATCCATATCATTTTACTCGGAGATCTGCTACGAAATTCAGAAAATTCACAATATTTATGTATATATATATATATATAGATATATTTAAATTCAATATGAAATAAAGCCAATTAAAGCAGTTTAAACCTTGCAAAGCTCTCATAAAGCCAATATGCACTTAAATCCTTCAAAACCAATGCTCATAGAATTCTACTAAGTTTGCTTTAAAACTCATACTTTGATTAATAAAAGAGAGTTTTATTTGTTGTAGGTTCCTAGTTTTATTCCTTAGAATCTAATGTCAATTCTAATTTATGATTTACACTCTATAGATATCAATTTAAGATTTATTTAAGTAATTTTTGCTGATTGCTATTTTTTTATTTCTAATTAAAGATGCATGTGATAATTGTTTTGCTAATCTATTTTATTTTGCCTTATTTAAAGCCTTGGAAAGTAAGTAGAAGTTTTTATTTTATTATATTTATTTATTTATTTATAAAATAGAAAAATTAATACTTATTAATTTTATTACTTCTTTAACTATTATTTATATTTTTTAAATTATTTTTGATATTATATTTTAAAATAAGTTCTTTTGTCATATAACATATTTTTTTTCTTTTATTCAATAGTTGTATTTCAGTAAAATATTGTTGATTTTAATTCAAATTTTTTACATTTTTCAATCTATTAAATAAAAATAAGGATAAAAAATATAAAAAAAACCAAACATGCACATTGAAACAAAAAAATCCTAACCTACTTGCGTGTTAGATATCTTCCTTTTTCAACCTTGATGTCAATCTTCTAAGGTCAATAGTTTTATTTTTGCACCATTTACTTGTTCTAAAAGTTTTAAAAAGTTTAAAAATATAAATAAAGTATAAGATTATCTAAAAAAATAATTTTAATCTAATTACTCAAAATCATAAAAACCCTTACTAATCCTCAAACTTCAATTTCTTGGATCCTAACTTATTTAAATTTTAATGACCTTTTATTTGAATATCTAATTAAGCTCTAATTCACAACACATATCCAACATATCTATTTTTATAAATCTAAATTTTTTACTTGAAGATTTGCTATAAATCTCATAATTATTTTTTATTCTATAAAATACAATGTTATCCAAAACAATCTCAATTTTGCAAAGCTCTCACAAATTTATTATCTATTTGAAAAATTTAAGACCTAGCCTTGATTAATATCTAATGTGAACATGGACCTCATTGACTTCTTGATGCCAATTGTGTTACTATTATCCGTAACTATTGTTGAATTGTAATACAACTATTACGTAAAAGAAAAAAATAACAATTATACTATATAAGAGCTTAATTAAAATATAATAGAAAATTACTTCTAAAAATATAAATAAATTTTAGAAAGGTAGTAAAAAAAGAAATCTAATTTTAATATTATTATTTTGTAAAAAAATTCTATTTATTTTGTAAGGCCATAGATAAGACAAATCAAAATTGGTTACCAAAATTAATATTAATAGTATCTTTAAGTGAAAGAAAAAAGTAGCTTTTAGCAAAAATTATCCAAAAAAATCCTAGATTAATATCTAAAGAAGACTAATTGTGAACCAAGGTCAAAACAATACTCCAAAGCACAAAACTATGTGCCCATAGCAAATATGAGATTCTTTTGTTAATTAAAAAGTAAGATTATTTATATTGTATAAAGAGTCATTGTCAAAATTTGTTATTGCCTAATTGTATAGACTAAACCAACAGTTGTAAAATATCTATCCAACCAAATGTGGTGTTAGTCTTAGGATTTTAATCAAAACATTTATAAGATTTTCATAATAATTTGTGTGATGTCTTTTTATTGCAATTACATTGTCAAGCGCAGTTTGTAAGTATCTTAACTGGAATTGTCAAATATGTGAATATTTCAAAGATTGGTGTGGATAAACAATATTACATTTGAACTCCTGCAAGGGTTGAATGTATTTACTCTTGGTATCCTTCTCAAGATGCAAGTTGCTGTGAGAACTTGCTAGGTTGAACCTATGCATTCACGATTCCTGCAACTTGAATGCAAAGTAATTTTGTATTCATGAGACAGGATGAAAGGCTTGCAAGACAGTGAGCAAAATCAGCGAGTTTTTAGAAAAAAAAAAAAAATACAGAAAAAAAAGAAAATAGGAATAGAAGAGTCTGAAGGCATTTTGCACAATGTTTTAGTTTTTTTTGCTTTATACTTTGTTTGGTGCTTGTACCCGCAGACCTTGCATGAGGGAGAAACTTGAGGATTGCTGAATGAGTACACGCCAAGCTAGAGGGCAGAGCATGCTTAGAAATTTGCATCCAAATGTTTCTTTGTGTCAACAATCCCAAAGATTGTCAACATGTAGGAGAATAGGGGGTGCGACCCAATTCACATTCTCCTTTTCTGACAGAAATTAGGCCTGAGAGGTGGCAAAAAACATTGCGGTGTGATCACTCAGGTGATTCAGGATGGGTTCGTGACACTGAACATGTCTTCCTATGATGCAGTGCGATAGATACTGGCAAGTGTGTCCAAGCAATGTGACCAGGCGTAGAAATTTTAACTGTTTTCAACTCTCCTTAGACACCATCTGTAGCCAGTCCAAGATCTGGTACATCGTGCGCATAATTTTTAGGCACCGACAACCTTGGTTCACATGTAATGTGGAATGGGTGCTGCGTTCTTGCATGCTTTTTTCAGATACCCTTGAGTATGTGATGAGATCAGATCCTCCTCAACATGCTAGATTCAAGTCGAATTGCAGTGAGTTCGTAGACTGATGACTTTGGCCGGCACATGTGAAGGTTTTTGGGTCCCACATCCATGGTAACAGGAACTTATACCCACGAGAGCCAAACGAGTTGAAGCTGGAGCCAGTGACGGGGTCCTTCATGAGACTACCCGGGTATCCGGCGTAAGCACCACATCCAAAGATGCCACTGCATGCCTCAGCTGCTTCCACTGGAGCCGCGGCGTCGCCCTGGTAGTATGCATTTTGGTATGGATCTGTGGCCGCTCCTGCAATAAGTTTGGCAAGATTGATTATCATCCCGTCAACCCCCACTTCACCACTGGGCGGCAGTAGCGGTTTATCTTGGGAGTTTTCCATGAATGTGTAGTTGAGATTGGCAAACGGCCAGCAACAGAGTCCTGGACACTGCGTTGACGCATCCCCAACCCACACATATGGCAGCATCTGGCCGCCTGTGGCACCGGAAGGGTACAGATAAGCATGCTGGCCGCATGCCTCTTGACAGAATCCTCTAACTTCTACATCTGAGGATTTCAGAACGATGTAGAGAGATCTCGCACTGATTTGAAAGGATGTGAGGGAGTTTCAATAGTAAGGCTTCGATGTCTCTTTGGTCAAGTGTCCTGCCTCGAGAGTAGCTTTTGTCTTCAATCTCTCCGCTGGGGATGAGTAGCTGCGCGACGGACTCGCCCCACACATCCTGATATCCTTTGGTAATTTCCCACCATTTGGCCACAGTGGGGATGCTTGCACGAGCCCTGTGACGCGGTGGCGCCAACGACCTGAAGAAGCGCCGCACAGTGAGTCGTTGGATCCTGGTGAAGGCGCCATAATAGATAACGTACAGCTTGGTAACGTTGTTCATGCGAGATAATATGGGTCCATTGTGGTAGGGCAGTACCAGCGGCTTTGGAGCAACTAGTCCCGCTAGTCGTCGCCCACTTACAAAATGCTCCTCAAAGTTCTTGTGTGCAGTGTACTTTCCGCTTGTGCTCCATGGACGACGGCTCCTCTCGTGGTCATGCGTTTCAGCAAGGGGGTTTTCGACACCGGACGCAGTTGCATCAGCACATGGTGCAAGTAGAATCGCACTCCAAAATATGAATCCAATATTTGCCAGAAATTTGCTTGGAGGGTATTTTAGGCACCGTTCCATTGCGTTTTCGTGTCCTGCTCTTGAAGCTGAACCTGGGTTTGATATGGTTGTGAATTCTGATTATCTGTGAATGGGTGGTCTAATCTCTCTCTCTCTCTCTCTCTCTCTCTCAATCTCAATCCTGTGAGTTGATGAGCTTAAACTGAAATTGAATTTTCCGATGCGCAGCTCCGAACATCGTCCTCAATGAGTTGATGGGGACGCATCCATCGAAAAACCCTTGTTCAATGCTCGGTATGAGAGCGACCGAAGGAGATTCAGAAAGAAGTGGATAGCGAACTCTGACTGCTTGAAAGAGGCGGTTGTGTTTCTTGAGGGACTTCTTCGTCTCAGGAAAAGTATGGAGAGGATTTTCCGACACACTGAAACTGTCAACCGTCGTGGGAAGATGTTGGCTGAAGACTGCAAGAGCTCAGTTCCAGATTTTCAAATAAAAAACATATCAATTTCTCATTTTTTCTGTAGAATATCAGATTTGAATGACTCGGCGATAAGTTCGAAAACAATCAATCAATCACTCAGAAACTGACCACTTCCACCACATGATCGAAAGATAAGGAAGGGTGACGTTATAAGCTTCGCACCACAGCAAAAAGCTTTCATTGGATAACTGTGTACGGTAATGTGGATGGGCAGGAACAGCATTGAGAAGAACAAGCATGCCCCCTCAAGAAGTCAGAGCAGCGAGCAAAGAAACGGGCAGAGAAACAAAAGAGAACAGAATCCAAAAGAAATGAAAGGGAGAGAAGAGAGCAAACAGGAGCGAGGAGGTGGAGGTAGAGGTGGGGAAGCGAGGGGTGATGCAGCAGCAGGCCAGCAACTAAGTTACACACGAAGGCAACATCAATAAACTGCTCTTCCGGGCCATGCTTAACTGCCCTGCCTGCCTGCCTGCCTGCAAGAGCCAAAGCCCACCCAAGTCATTTCCAGTTTTTTTGGGGAGAGGGGGTCATACTTTTACTTTAAAAGTTGTCCAGGAGGGGGAGGGTGTTCACACCGGCACCCGGGGAGGGAGGGGGCCAACCCTGAGCATAGATGGGTATGAGAAGGGGCGTTGTCTGCGACTGTAGGCTCTTTCGCGGCGTCGCCACCCCTACTCGTGGGCCGCATCACTCATATCTGTGCCCTGCCCTGCACTGGTGACGCCTCTGGTCTCTGTCTTGCAGCACATCCCTTTCCTCTCGTCTTGTGTTTCCGTTTACGCCTCTCGTACGGTCTATGTTGGATCAGGTGCTTCAGTTCAGATTAAATTGCGCGGTGGAACGAGTCTGGAAGCTCTGATCCTAATTTAGGGTGGAGTTGGGGGTGGTGGTATTGGAGTTTTTGCGAGCGTGTGAGCGGCACTTAATTGTTTCGCTCTATGGCGGAGCTTGCGAACGGTACGAGTGAAGTGCAGCCCATGGCTGTGAATGATGAGCAGGGGGATGTTTCGCCGGCTCTGGATTTTGTGCCACCGCCGAAACCACAATTTGGGGCTTTGTCGGCGCATGAAATGAATGGAGGCAAGTTCGAGTTTCGGAAGGTGTTCGTGCCGACGCATCGATTTACGCCGCTTAAAGAACATTGGATGGAGATTTATACACCTGTATTCGAGCAAATGAAGATTGACATTCGGATGAACTTGAAGGTTTGTTCGTCTTGTAGGGTCTTGTTTTGGGTCGGGACGTGACCTGTTGCTGTATCGCCATGTTAGGGTTTTTATTTTCTTTGATATTTGCTCACCTCGCGCTGTAGTGTGCAATGCTGAGCTCTTCTGCATATGGTCGCGTGCAGGCCCGCAAGGTTGAGCTGAAGACCAGACGAGATACGCCAGATACTGGTTCCATTCAGAAGTGTGCTGATTTTGTACATGCTTTCATCTTGGGGTTTGATATACAAGACGCAATTGCACTTCTAAGGCTGGATGATCTGTATGTGGAATCTTTCGAGATCAAGGATGTGAAGACGTTGAAAGGTGAACATCTGTCTCGTGCCATCGGCAGGTTGTCTGGAAAGGGTGGCAAGACGAAATTCGCTATTGAGAATTCCACTCGCACTCGCATAGTCATAGCTGATACCAGAATACATATATTAGGCTCCTTTGCTAATATTCGAGTGTCGAGGGATGCTTTATGCAGTTTGATTCTAGGATCTCCCGCAGGGAAAGTCTACTCGAAGCTCAGAGCTGTGTCCAGTCGTCTAGCAGAGAAGTTCTAGGTTCATGCTGCTTAGTCAATTTTCTTTTTCTCACTGCCAATTTTCGAGTTTACCAAAGCACCGATTCATATATTGGTGCTGCAGTTGGTTGCGTAAACAACTGGGTAGGTGATAAGTAACATGATAAACTGCGATGTATGAATCTAAAATCAATTTCGGTTCGTTCAATCTTCGATCAGTAGCATCCTCTTATTGTGTGTTCTCATCCACTATCTTTGGTAGGAAATTCGTGGTCTGAACCCTGTATTTATGAATATAGTTTATCTGTTGTGCACATGGCCTTAATGATGCAATTATTTTCTTAATTCCCCTATTCGACAGGTGTTTCTGGCAGTGTGGTGTCATCTCACATTGTAGTTTTGTGAATGCTTGAAACTTTTTAGCACGAACCTTCCGAGTCAGCCCGGAAGCTGCCTTGGGGTTTTAGATGTTAGCTTATGAAGGGGGAGTGAAGTATAATCTTACATCTAGGTGTACCAGAGTTGTGCATTTATTGACTTGTTCGAGTTTTACATGGCAAATCTAATACGTCAATGTTGGAAATGTATGCAACTATTAATCACTTTACACGTAATAATTGGATGTTGAAGGTCTTGAACGCCATTTTTAAGAATTTTGAGAAATATACAACTGTTGACTTTGAAATCGGTGTCATATGGCATCTATTTTCGCAAAATACGTTTTCTTGTGTTACCCTAAACACGTTTCAAGCGTTGATGTGAAGGGTGTGATTTCACACGTCAATGGCATCAGTTGATCTGTTGACTTTGAAATCGAATGAAAACACAAGGCACGCAGTGTTTTCCTAAACCTGGGTGTGATGTGCTGCAATGAACACAGACACTGATTTGAGAAATAGAAAATTTAGACCTACGACGAATAACACTTACAGTGTCCAATAGTTACCAAACTGTACAAGAAGTGTGCAATTCTTTCACTCAAACAGTGTGTTTGGAGAGCGAGTTATTACGTTGGCGACATACTCCACACTGCATGCTAAGCCACCTACGAGAGAAGTATTTCAGAACTCATGAATCTGGCTCGCAATGGAGGCAGCATTGCTAGTGAAACCAACGAGAGATCGTATTGCTTTCCACATAGATTGTGGAGGCCATCACTCGTGAATCTTGATGTGTCTTGATGTGCTTGCCCGTCTTCCTGATCTCTGAGCTCCAGCACGGGCTGCCACAATTTTAGCTGCTGATTGGTGCAGCCTGGGTGCGAGAGGCTTCGGTTTCCTTGTGGCTTGATCAAATGCTCTCACGCATACGTATCCTGTACAAATGCCAAGAAAAAACAAATAAATGAAAGGTAAAGAATACCCACTAGGGGCCTAAAAAGTTTCTCAAATCAGCTAGACAATCAGATGCTATTGCTCGTAATCGGCCGCAAAATCCTACATAATTGGACTACACAGGTTCTTCGCCGGAGTGAGAAAATGCAGCATCCTGGGATTTCAACTCACCTTTCTTGAAGCAGCATTGGATTTCTCCTTGAGACATGTCTGTTTCAATACCATTCCGTGTCAGATCCTTTTGTGAGGAAGCAAATAACCTCACTTTTTTCAGATCTAAACCAATGCAACGAGTCTAAATTGGGAGGCATTTGAAAACTACCGCTGACCTCTGAATATGCTGGTCACAGAGGTGCCGAAGTAAACAAATTTGCGCTTCAAGTTCCACATTAAAGTTCGGGAAACTCGCAGTGGGTCATGACTACTCGCATGATCTGCAAACACCTGCAGAAGAGAACCTGGATGAATCAATTTCTCTTATCAAACTTGCCTCATACAGTGCATTGAAACTTGACTGGTCCGGGACAAATATGCATACCTCATTAACTTGAAAATATGTTCCATTCAAAGGAAAAGAGCCTTTGTTGGCAGTTCTGCATGGCACCTGCTCCCATAGGAACACCAGTTAAGGCCCTACTTTAAAAAAAGTTTTCAGCCCTGCCGAAGTTTCGGAAAACAGTATTCTATGAAAGAAATGGGGTCACATGAAGTTTTATAAGGACAACAAAGGCAAGATGAATCCTACAAGAATTGTTCCCGGGACTTCTTGCCCTGAGTTGCAACTAGCAAATGGGTTGCTTGCATCATCATCGCTAATTTTGGGCATAGCCGCTGGCACCTCATCTACATTGATACCAACGTCATCAGTCCATGCTTGAATATAAGCTCAACAGAATTAGCTCTCACATTTTATAAGTCAATATCTTGTTCACAAAAGCAGGCAACTTTGGCTGAAGAGCTCTAACGGAAGGATGGAACACTTCAAGAAAATTCAAAGGTTAACCTGCATTCCAAATGGCAAGTAGGTACAAGCACGGATCGTCCGAGTCTCTTTTGTCCATCTGAGCCACACCATACCCACACATGTAACTTCAACTACAAGTGATAATTTAACACGCATTTTATCGAGAAAAGTCGGCGGAAAAGGTTTCAAATTCTCTGCAAAATTTTCTCATCTAAAAAATCAAACTAAAATGAAAGACTCATGTCCTTCAAAGCTTTAGAAACTCTGAACTAATGGTGTTTGAGGCTCAAACTTTTTAAAACCGCAGATGCGGCGCTCTTTTCCAGCAGAATATTGATTAAGCACGTGTAATATTGAAAGGAGTCATCTTACCTTTGCCTGGTGAAGAAGGGGATGGTGATCTGGCAATTCATAGCTGCAGTCAACGAGATTGAAGTGAATAAGTGCTAAAAAGCTTAATTGAACAGTGTAACGAACCTGAACATTCTGTTCGATTTCAAAATCCGAAAGAAACTGCCCGTGAAGTGGAACATACACATAGTGGATTGTGCGCAATCGTTGAACACTCTTGAGGAGAGGAGCAGGGAAGGATGCAGCATAAGGGGGCAACAAGATAAGCTCCTGCGAAGGGGGATAAGCCAACTCTTGGCTCACTAATTGTGGAACACATTCTTCCGTAATAGTGACCTCCGCTTCATGAAGTGCGGCCTTCAAGGCAACTCGCTTGCAACATATTTCTTCACTGTCATCACCATCTTCTCCTGCTTCCTTTTCTTCTCCTAAACAAATATTTTGAGTAAGTGTGTCGTTCGAACTCAAATGCATGTACATCCCATCTCCGCAAATTCCAGAAACCGCAACGTTATCAGAAGTAGACAGTTTCGCATTACGGTTTGATTCTTGAAGAGCAAAATTATTGTTATAATTTGCAATGATGCCCACATCTTCAATATCCTGCACACAATCCGGTTCAGGTGAGCAAGGCTCTTCTATAATAGGGATGCATGCTCCTCTATATGGTCCATCAGCCTCTCCACTAGTTAGCAGACTAGGTGTTTCTTCCACATGTTGCATCGAATGTCTTGGTATTAAAGGCACAATCTGCTGCATTGAGTGATTGGATGCTCTTTCTGATCCTTGAAGAAGTGGCCTTGAACTGTTACAAGCAAGACAAGCGGTAAAACTCATACAAATTGGGCACGCCATAGGAATGCACATCAATTTTGTAAATGTGAAACTCAACAAACAATGTAAAATAAACTGAACCACAACTTATGAAACCACTCTAGCCTATGCCCTTGCAACACAAATTCGAGTAATACCATGAATTCACCTTCCATAAAAAAAAAAGAAAGAAAAAGATATGCAAGAGGGACGAAATAAGTACAACCATACCTACTGACTGCGCTTTCGAAATGTTTACATTGACCTCGCATGGGACATGCGCTGCAATTAGGCTTGCTCTTGGTACAAAATACCTGCCACAAAGACATTAATTTACATGAAAATCAACTCCTTTGAAAAAAGAAAATTCTCAAGAGGATTCTGCTCAGCTTTTCACCAGAACGATCTCAATGCTGCTGCTCCAGGCCACGTCTGCAGTGAAAACAGTGATTGCTCTAAGGGTTATGAAGTATGTATAGTATAAAGGCTGTGCATTTGAGTCTCAATAATGAGATGCAAACTACCTTTCCGAAGGTAATTAATTGATAATGGAATTCGTACCTGAAAAATCAAACCAATATTGATCAGCAACGCACTGAACCTACTTCAATTTAATGGGCCTCTAACGAAACACTTCAAAAATTGGCTCTCTAAAGTTGCATTGGGGGTACATTCATACATACAATGTCTGCTGGTCAAGTGTACAAAGTCGGGGCCATATATATTTCTGAATCTGTTCTTGTACAGGGTACCTGAGATTACCAGAAACCAGATGAGAGAGGATCAAAAGTTTTCATAATTCGAAGGAAAACGTGGACCACAGTTGACTAAACAGCAGATCTTCTTAGGCGAGTTGCTAACAAATAAATTGCACACTTGACACTGATAAGAGGCCACCAATAGGTCACCAGTAAAAGTAAAACTTAGCCCTGCCTTGCAAAGAAATGCATACATTGCTCCAAGCTTACATTTCAAGAAGATGCAGCCGAATTTTCTCGGGAAGTGGCTCCAATGGCACCCAACCCAGGCGGACTAGGATACGGCCCACATTCGTGTCCACCTGTGTACAAATTAGTCAAAGCACCTCACTACTCCCGACTTCTAATAAGCACAGCTGCGAATACCACATTTACAATCCACTACACTACATTTGCAGTGAAAGCGGATTTGTCGAGCCCAGATCTAACCTCTTTCTGCAACAAAATATGGACGAACTGAAGAATTTACCGGCATCATAATCATGAGAACAATCCCTAAAAAGAATGTGCTGTGCTGTGAATGTATACGAAGGACTCATGCATTACAGGAAATGAGGGGTGATGCAGCGTGAGTAACCGTATGCATTCAACGCTTTTAATCCCCAAGCCACGCACATTTATCAGGAAGTTTCTATGCACACATCCAACAAAATGTAGAAGTTAAGAGTGTTGACCCTAAAATGTTCCTTCTCAAAGTAGGACGCGCAACATGAGTGAGGGGTCGCAAGCTTACTGAGAATCGATGGGAGAGAGTTTTCGAATCCATTCAAGGTCAAGACTCCCATCCTGATCACGATAAATCCTATCTAGTAGTGACTGCCAGAACGCAATACAAAATATTAGAATTTATTTAAGAGGTTTCATTAATGAGACACACGATATGCAAAAAAGACAAAGTTGGCAAAGAGTACAAAGAGGTGTACCTTGATCCTTCCGCTCAGGATGTTGTTCATTCCTCGCTCCTTGATAAGATCCGCTACTACCGCCACATCGGCAAGTCGCACTGCCTCCCAATCCACAGAGTCTGAAATGGAATAATCCTTTTCAAAATTATCTGACAAAACCTTCGCTCGAAGAGCTTCCCATGTTGTCTTCATCTCTGCATTCAATTTGTAATTGAAGCCGTGTTCATAAGTTGCGCGCTGTCCCCCTGTAAGCTCCTTGACTGATATTTTTGATACATGCCTAGCGTTTTTGCTACTCTTGAGCTTTCTGCGCTTCTCTATCTTCAATGGCTCTTTGACAACCGCAGCTTCTCGTGCTGTAATCGACTTGCCCAAGATATGTCTAAGTGCGGTTGCAAGAAGTTTCTCCGACCTATCTGGTGTCAGATCCTCCTCCAAAGAGAGTTTGAATTTATCCTGCAGCACCGAGTAACCCCTCGAAAAAGGTTTCCTAGTGTCGGACTTTTCGTCATTTCCAACAAGACATCCTTGTTCACTTGAGTGGCGCTTCTCACCAACGTCTTGAGTAGGCCCTTGGGTCCCAGCCTCAGTGCCAATGCTTTCTTGCACCCTGTTATCTCCGGGCATTTCTGAAACGATCTTTGTGGCTTGTGGTCGAGACGCGTAGTCGGCATCATCTGTTACGTGCTCATCAGGAGCACGTACGTTGGTAGTGGTCATTTTCATGAAGGAACAGCAGTCTTTAGGGACTGCAGAAGATTGTATATGTACTGTTTCTAGTGCGACCGCTAAATTATCAATAGCAATGCTTCTGCTAAGCGCTTCGATACCACCGTGGCCATCAGAAAGGCTGTAAGGGTCCGAGATATCCAGATCTCTGTGCCCATCATCCCTTGTGGGCAGATCTACAAGAATATCTTTTGCCTCCTGTGGCTTTTTCAAGAGTGTGTCTGGTGTCTCCGCCACGCATACCTCGGTGATAACTTGTCCACTGTCATCCTGCGCTCCTGCTGTCTTTTGTTGAAGCTCATCAATACCTGCAGCCGACCCTTCAGCTCTCGGGTGAAGTGCTCGGGTCAAATAAGGGTCTGGTGTCTCTACTGGACATTCCCTTGACATCTCCTTAGATAGTAGGGACTGCTCCTTCGAAGCCACGCATGACCCAGTAGTAGCATCTCTACGAACTGGAAAGCGGGCACATAACTCCATGAAAGCATTGCTGCCACAGAGTCGCAGTGATCCATTATCACCATAATAAATGTTGCACAGACAACAAGGATTGAAAAGGTTCATAAAGTGACGTCATTACAAATATGCAGCAGCTGATAACATACTCGAAAAGTGAAAGAAGAGTTAAATGCACACTAGCAATTCAATGGTTGATGCGAAGTTTGACCAAACACGAGCTTCTGTAATACGTGTTTTGAGGTCGTACCTGGAGAGAAAATCTGAGACATTCTGCGTCAGGAATACCCCAACGACAGAGTCCAGTACCGAACCCCCCCATTTCGAGAATGTTCGATCTCCTGCATCGCCAGGACAGGTCCAACACAAAACGCATACCACCACATCAGGATTCCAACCTACAATGTCTTATCCGTGACGATTTTAAGAACCTAGAGCAAGAGAACGATGCTAACCTTGAACATCGCGCATGACAGCATTAAAACTGTGAGCGCGACCACCCCACAATTGCCTTTGCTCCGCCCAATTCTCATCAGTTCGGTCGGCGTCACTCGCCTCACCACCTTGCAACAGCAATCTTTCGAAGGTCTTGATAGTCACCTCGTCTAAGAACACTTTTGGCTTACACTTGACTTTGGGTCTCATGCCCCGATATGAAACCATTTCATTCGACTTCTGCCCATACACCACAAGTTGAAGCTCGTCTTCTGCAGCAAATTCTCTCGAGTTTAGTGGTTGCGGAAAGTGCACGGCCGTTCTTCGTCGACTGTAGACTTTTTGGATAGGAGTGTCCTCTGGAACAAAAATCTTCTCCACGTCATCCTTCACCAACTCGCATGTCTCAGCCTCTAGCAGATGCTTCGGCGCTCCTGTCGTCAACTTCTTGACAAGACCCATGGGATCTTCTGAGTATTGCTGATTCTGGCACAAGGCCCACACATGCTGCTTCTTTTGTGTCTCCGAGATTTCAAGGATTGAAAAATGGGGTGGGGTCACGGGAGCTGCAATGCGAAGTGGTGCAAGATCATTTAATTCGGCTTCCACCACTGGCAGAAGCGATCGCCGCGTTCGTCGTGTCAAGATCGGCCCCTTTCGCCGTTTCGAACTTGGGCCTGTTTGCTCATCTTCACTGTCTAAACTATCCTCACAACTTTCCTCTTCTAGAGGAAAAGAAGGCGAATTGAGGACATTGGCTGGGTGGACAATCAATGCATTTGCGCGTGGTGTGGAGGGAGGGTCTTCTTCCATCCAAGAGCCTGATAGAACGGGAACATCGCCGAAGTTAGGAATGCATCGAATCACGGGGCGATTCAATGTCTGCTGGTCATCTGATCCTACAGGGATCTCCTCGGTAGCGATTTTAGAGGCCGATTGATTATTCAATCCGAGGTTGGACTCTCCCACCTGTGCAGTGGCGGGTTGCGCACAATTTTTTTCAATATCAACTGTGCACTCATGCCTATTGCTCGTTCCCCTTGATGCCTCCACCATTGGCAACTGTGTGCAAATTTCGCCCTCATTACTAGCGTAGTAGTTGACAAGGGCTTCATCTACGAGCCTGTCAATGTTTGGAACTTCAACAACGGGAATCAAAGTAGAATCTACTGGTGAGCTCGAAAACACTCTTTCATTTGTCCGTGGCGGCTTACGTAAAGCCTTCGCTTCCTTAGGATTTGCAGTTGCATCGTTGTGCTCCAAGGTTCCTCTCGGGAAAGCATCTGCACAGGTGCTCAATGTACTCATTGTGCAAGCAAGCTCTAGAATCAGATCAGAGAAGAGTATTTTTAAGTTTCACGATTTTACCAGACACGATGATTTAAAAACCTGCGAAATCAAATCACCTGCTGCTGCTGCACTTACTATTTCGTTTGGACGCTTTCGAAATCTTGGGAATCTTGGGGGACTTGGAAATTTTCACTTTCTTGGGTTGTTTCACCCGAGGTCGGATGCGCTTCTTTTTTACCTTGACCGATTTGATAGTTGGAGATCCTGAAAGCTCCACAACCAAGTGGAGTTGCGTTCTGTCATTGTCCCCTTGCCGAGATCGTGATACCTGCAACCGCGTATGCACTTTCCTGGCCACATCACACTCTACAGGACCAGCAATTCAGATCTTGCTAAACTGGCTTCGAATACATCAGGAAGCTCTCTCAGGCCAGGATTTGCCACGAAAATCAGGGAGTGGTGTCAGCATTCCTACACATGCATTGAATGCTCAAGGACAGAGGAATCCTGCGCTCTTACTTACTAGATGGGGTCCAGCAGCTGTCCTCGTCGAGAGCACTTTCGTTCTGCAAAGAGAGATTTCGATCAACTTCGCATTCGCCATTGCTCTCCTGCGGTGGGTCTGGAGTCTGTGGAGCTATAAACACCTCATCGACCTCTGGGGGTTGCACTGGCACGGCAGGTCTTGATTGTAGTACATGGACCACATCCGGTATTGGAGTGGCGAGTAACGGCCCGTCACCGAAAATCTTCCTTGCCTTTCGAGTTCTTCGAGAGTCTCTGAATTGAGATTTCAGTGGGACAGGCTTCTCAACATGGGCTGAGATATCCGACGAGTTTCCATCTTCGGAATTAGTGATCGTCTCCACCTCCCCAAGTTGCATGCCACTTCCGTGCAGAAATACGTGCTCGAATGGCAATTCGGGGTAGAAAATATCCCAATCATACTCAGCTGTGTCAGTTGATCGAAAACAGTCCTTGGAGTATCTGGGGTTCTCCCTCCTTCGCCGTTGAGGCCGCCTGATTTGTGGGTCTGGAGGTGTGTCTTTTTTCCGACCGTCTTCCCTGATGATCTCTTTCAAAATCTGTGGCAATGACCGAAGAGGCTTGTCTCGTCTCCTCCTGATGGAACGCAGCCCTGTCAATTTCGACGTCGTCGATAAAGGTGGTGACTTGGGATGCTCCTCGCAGTCGAACTGCCCGAAGTCTTCGCAAAACCCTGCGCTGAAGTTCTCTATGCGAACATTCTCTTGGCAAGCGTTTTCCTGGCATGCATTCTCCTCGCAGACTTCCTATGCACAAGATCAATGTGATTTTCATCAGTAATCTTTGCACAACGGAGAAATTATGCTCGCCCAAGTAGGCTGAGATTGTTGCAACCTTAGCAGAGCCTCTAGATCTCCGCCTAGCATACTGTTGACATTTTCCATCGCACGCTCCGTCTAATTCATTGTGCTGTAAAGACGTTGATACCTCTTAAAACTCTCCTTTCACTGGATGCCAAGGCGCTCCCATAAGACATTGCAGGAGAAACAAGAGCTAGTGACTAAGATGAGCTTCTCAGAGATGAATTGACCAAGGAAAACCATAATTGAGTACCTCTGAAGGTGGCGCTTCTGCTGGCACACGCAGTTGTCTGAATTTCCTTCTGCTGTAACATTTTAGCTGCTCTTCACCAGCTATCCAGCTTTCGGTTCTTGCTCCTTCCTTCTCGAGTGAGCTCCCAGCAAAAGCTTCCGCGAAAATAGGGCTCTTGCCAGCTATGGCCGCCTGGTGCTGAAAAATCGGTCTTGAGATATTTAATACAGTTCAGAATACTCACGCGCATTCAGGGCTCCAGTAGACGAATTCAGCAAAACCCTCGTAAATCCCGGACGTACAAGAACTTATGAACGGTAAGGTTTAGAATCTCAGTAAACTTGTCGTTAGGCATGTTCTTTTCGAGATGCGTAATTCAAAGCAGTACAGGAATGGAACTGGAGATAGGAAGAGTACTCCCATGTCCTAACACCACCTTCCGACAAGACAAGTTCGTTTGGTGAGTTAAAGAGACATAGACAATGGGCTTAATGGCCTCTCGACATATTCATGTACAACCACTTACCGTCGCTGCCAGAAATGCTGGGGCGTTCGGCTTCTTTCTCAACTTCTTACCCTGATTATCATAATTTGTGAAACTTTATAAGTAGGCTGCCTACCTCCCTCTTCTTCATCCACAATTTTCGCAATAGGTACAAGGTAAAATTGTTGTAGTAAGCACACACCACAGAGGAGAAATTTCGGCACCATTCAAAGCATTCACGTGCATTGTGTCAAATTAGTTTCGATGCATTGAAACGCAACGTACCCCCCATGAGTGATCTTTGCGGATTAGTGGCACTGGTGTCAAAATTTTCTTATTCCGCTCTGTAGCAACTGTTGCAGAACAGACGTGATTGCGTCTTTTCCTCCTCCTGGTGAGCCCCATCAATAACGCAACCTGCTCACGTCCCAAGAACAAAGATCGCCGAAATGAGCAGAAGACGACAAGATCGTTCTTTTTCTGCTTATGAAGAATCTTACGGCAAGAAATTATGCATCTTGCTAGACCATTTGATTCAGGCCTCTGACCCACCTGGTAGGGCATGGATTCAAAGGAGTGACCGAATCGTTGCTGCAGCTGCAACTCATGGACCAGCCCATCACTGGCATGAGCAGTAACATGACAAGACCTACGTCCGAACATGGCTGGGGTACAATTGGTCACTGGGGGATGATGGAACAGCTAGCAACTAAGCAAGTGGGACAAAGATGATGCAATAAGCCTGAAGCAGGGAAAGAGGGGACTGATGGGATGCACAAGTCTCTGACCATGATGTAAACACATGGAAGCATGTTGTAGCACAGCCATGAAAGTAGAGAGAGGACTGCAAAGGCGGGGGATGCTGTAGCGTCATGGGCTACCAAGGAGACGGCAGGAGAGGGGAGAGGGCGAGGTCGGGGTGAGGAGGAGACGTGCGAGAGGGGGAAAGGGGGCCCCGAGAGAGAAGCGCATGAAAGCATTCATTCATGCAAAACCTTGGGAAGCGAGAAGGGGAGGAGCAACGGAGGGCGGCGATCTGGGCACCCCCCACGACTCATTAAAGCTCTCCATTCCACTTCAGTTGTAAGAACCTAACCTTATCCCCACCCTACCCCCCTCTCTTCCCTCTCTCATGGTCAGATTCTTGTACTCTCTCCTCTCCTGGCTCTCTCACACACTATCCTCCTTACTACTCTCACATAGTACTACTGCTGTCATTACTTCTACTACCAGAATGATCAATTTTCCTTTAATTCTAATCATGTCCTGCTCTACGGGGAGTATGCCCCAGATTTGTTTTCTTCTCTGACAACACCTCCCATCACAAAGATCCATATAGATATACTGAGGAAGAGACTAGCAGATACACTCGATGATTCCATGCACATTCACCGTGTGGCCAAGCCCACACAGCACCTCAGATGCAGATCTATAGGAGTATAATGATGAGAATAATAATAATAAGAAGAAAAAGAAAAAGAAGAAGAGACAGTAGCAGCAGCAGCAGTTGGGACAGCCATTCTCTTTCTGGGCAGTGCTGTAGCTTTAATCTAGCCTGCCTCTGAAGCCTCGTGGTTCATTGCTGCTTTTCACACATGGAATTGGCCACTGAGTATTTCTTTTGTTGGTGCCCAGGGGTAGTATGTTGTTCATATTATCAATTCATTTCTCTGCAAGCCAATGCAGCTGTCATTTGTTCATGTACATATGTATGTATGTGTGTGTAAAATCTCAATCTTGATATGAGGGTCTTTACTTGGTGATTGCAATGTGCAATTGTAGGCATTGTGCATATCATTATTACATGAAATGACTGTAAAATTGCCAATATATATCAACTGATTTAAATGTATTTTCTTGACTCATAACATGTTTATTATATATTCTTTCATACATGTAAATATAATATTTTAACTATTTATAATAAAATACAACTACATATCATAAATGTAGAAGGGACTTCAATTGGTTAAACGCCTTTCAAATCAACAAATTTTTAAGAAGACTTCAACCAAGTACATCTTATGTATTCATAATACTTTCATATTAATTGATTATTTCCCAAGATTATTTATAATAAAAATTGCATTTGTTTCCCTGATAGTTTATTTTATATTTACCAAAACAATAATCTCTCTAATATAACATTTTTTTCCCTTTGGTAATTATATATGTATATATATATATATATATATATATATAATTTATTCGAATATTTTTTTTAATTGATTGAATTATAAATTTTTCATTTCTTAAAATCTCAATTTTTTTGTTATTTTTTTTTAGAATCTTGTGTTAAATTACTTGTTTCTATAAATGTTATAATCTTCACGCTCATGTTTTTTAATGCTAGTAATTTCTTGTCATAATATGGTGTGTTTTATTTTATTTTAATTTAATTAATTTTATAGTCGTATCCATTCATTCCTAACTATCTTTTTGTACAACTCGGTCTTTACGTTCTTAAGAAACCTAGTCCTTCTGTTAGCAAAAAAGAATACTACATATTTTTTTATCTTTAGAATTTGGTACTCTACTATTAAAATGGTTGCTAATCAACTGAGGTCTACTGCTCAATTCTGCAACTTCCTTTTTTATTATTCAAAGATAAAACTGTTGTGTAAGGTAGTTGTACTAATTTGTGACATGGGTGGTGTAAGTTAGATTCTGTCGGCCACCAGCCCATCATCGCCCATGATTCTGTTGCGCAACCTTGTAGGCAGGGACCATGGCCTGCTCCGGCCCTACTTACTGGAAATCAGGTAACTCCTCATCGACTTCTTTAGCTCGTTCTCATCCTATGACGATCGTTACAAGTACAAACAATAGTGAGTATGATTCTGGATCCTAAACATCTCTCTTTCTTAGGAGCAGGATGCAGAGGAGGCAGCGCGCCGGTGTTTTCGTGACAACCTACTCAACTAAGCCGTGCGAGAATGCGGAAGACTTGCAGTGCCTTCTTTCTTCAAATGCCAATCTGGTCGGCAAGGGCACGAGCACTAGCAACGGCCAAGTGGAAACGCAAGCATTTCAGCTCACCGAAACTATGATGCCCACAAATTTCATGATAGCGCCAACAATTCAGTCGAAAGCAGGCGCACTAGATAAGAATCCCTCTCTTGACGTTCTTTCAGCCCACCTCTCTATATAAACTTGAATCAATCCGCAATTGATCCGGATAACCATTCCGGTGAACAATCTTTCCAGGGAGCAGTTGCAAGATTTGCAAAGAAATCGTACGTCTTTCAAAGTCAGCCAACGGTCTCCAGAAACCAACAACGCTCAAACTCCCTGAACGTGAGACTGAATCTGTTGTTCAAAACTTAGCAAATTGTTCTGGTCAGCAATTGACGACGCGTCACCGAATTTCGAAAGAGGGCAATACTTTTCGAGGAAGCTCTGATTGTGATAGAGCCATTTGCGAAGCATTCGCGAATCCAGGGGCGTCATTGCAGACAAGAACTGAGCAGTTAGGAGGTTTTTGACATCCTCAAGCATCAGAATGGAATCTGGGTTCAAGGCCTGACTTCGACCCATTAGAGAACCGAAGCATAATTACAGGTGAAAATATTGGAGTGTCGAACGTGAGGAAGCTGAATTATATGTATCACGCGAATGGCGTCATGGCAGCTGCGCCGATTAATTTTGACAACAGGGATGACCATTACAACATGGGAACAATCAGATTAGAAGAGGATTTGGTGGGGTACAGAAGCTTGATGCACATGGATGGGACAAGGTTATCGTCAGCAAGCTTCAATGTGGGTGCGGCTGGCCCATTTCAGAGTACGTTGCAGGTCAATGGAGCAATTCCCACGTCAAGAAATTCGATCTCTAGCTTCACTGTGTCTGATGCTCCAGAGCTTCTCTGTGAAAATTGCAGGACTCTGCATTCTTTGGGGTTGCAGCTCCTTAAGTATGAGGTTTGTGTTCCTCATGCGGGAAAGACGTTCTGGAATCACTAGTCAATCACAGAACTTAGTGTCCCTGCATGCTTCGATTATTGTTTTGAACTTGCATTCCGTTTGGAAATGATCTGGAAGAGTTCGTTCCTTTTTGTAGCAGCAGATTCGTTGTCTCAGTTGTAATTAACTGGTGTTGTGTCTGAATTCAATGTCCCAGGTGATGGTTGTCACGGTCATGGAAATTAATCTCGGGCTTCAGCTTGTGATGTTGTGCTTGAAAGGTTTTGATGTCATCTACCATGACTTCATATCTTCACACCAAAAAACAAGTTTGAATAATTTAAGAGAGTAGAGATGATGATGTTTGTCGACCCTTGGAAGCCAATTGCCTTGGTTAAACAGCTCAGATGCATTCACCAGTTAATCGGTTTCTTAAAACCTTCGAATGACACTATTTTTCTCCTGTAATCATGGGTCTCATTCCAACGGTCTGCGTGATTGTTGTGCATCCTAGACAGATGCTAGTTACCCCGTAGAAGTGCAACGATCAAACTGAGAATCTTCAAGATACTCAAAAGTAAACTTGAGTTGACGGTGGGCTTGGCCGCGACACGCGAGCTGGATTTTGTGGGGTTTTATATCGTTTCTTTACGCTTTCAAATTAAGATAAAATTTTGCAGTGGGACAATCACAGCAGCAGGCAAGAACCATTAGTATTAGTTGTAAGATTAGGGTTAGGGTTTAGCAAATGCCTTGCTTCTCAAAGCGCGTTATGGTGGGGACAAAAGAATCGTTACCAGTATTAATGTGATTATATGCAATGATAGAATCAAACATCAATTCTATAGGTTCACTGAGGAATATAATTTTATTATTATTTTCTAATTATGTAGAATCCTAGTTAGAGATGTGAAGAACTTTTTTTTTACGTTGACATCAATTCAACTCAAAAAAAATTAGTTTGAATTGAATGTTTTTGTATACCCAAAATTTGAAAATTGTAACATAGAGAGCCATTGTAGAGGAAAGAGTTTTTACATGACCTTTTCAATTGTGTTAAGTTCTATACTTGACTTACAACCTTTCGAGGCAAGGTTATTGTGGAAATGGTATAGTTAGTTTTTATTTGTTTCATAATATTCTACTACAACCTTGAGGACTAGAAATTTAACCATGCAATTGGCCATAGGAGACTGTCATAGCAACACTGAAGAGTATCCGCCGGAACAGCATGGAAATGGAATTGCTGAAAACACTTTGGACCAACTATATTCGTAATTTTGCTGCTGGAACCAGGTTTAGACACTTGGCCGGCACCGAGGTGACCGTGATGGTGTGGGAGGGGAGGAAGGGGCGACTCTCCTCCCTCCCACTTTAGTGTGCCTGCAAAACTTCGCCTCGGTGCCGGCCAAGTGTCTAAACCTGGTCCCTCCTACTCCACCCCTGCCCTCCTTCTTCTCCTGTAAATCTTCCTCCTCACCGTCGCCCTTTGGTCACCATCTCGAACATCACCGCTTTCTTGTAAGCTCACTGTCTCCATTGAGTCCGTATTGCGCCACCTTCACCGTTTTCCTATCATTTGCTGTGATTCTCCATTCTTGTTCTCCATCATGCATTGCCCTACTCGCGCTCTCTCCTCTCTCTTCTCTGGATCCTTGTCCCAGCCGTTCTCTTTTCACTCGCATCGCTACTTGTGTAGCCGTTCTAATCCAATTCATTCCCATCCCCATTCTCAACCTCAACCTCAACTTCCCACCCCGACTCCCATCACTGTCTTGAGACCCTGGGAACAGGCAGCTGTCGCTGTGGGTTCTGCTGTTGGCGCCTTCATCAACCCTGCCCGCGCTGATTTTGTGGCTGCGCTCGGAGAAACCACCGGAGGCCCCGCCTTCCACCTCATCCTAGAGCGCATGAAAGCTTCCCCTGAAGGTCAAGTACGTCATCTTCATCTCTCTTTTCAATCAATTTGCCGTTTAGGGTTTATCAATTTCACCACCTATACGATGCAAATCTTGATAACAAAGGGATCCCATCTGTCCTTATATCATTCTGGATTTCAGATTCACACTCCAATGAAATTTTCGTTTTGAATTTGAGGGACCTTCTTTTGCAACTTATTATTGCATCAGAATTTTATAAATCCTGCTGCAAAGGGTCATTACATGCGCTGAATGTGAGAGAAAGACTTTGGATTTGGAAGTAATTTATTGTGAGTACGTCTACTTTTGTTTTCTACTTTGGTGTAATACATTGTTTTTAGTGTCCGATTTGGGGCGGAGATTTGTCAATCATAGGGTCGGACGACAATGGCTGATTGTTGTTGTTATCTCTATTTTCAGCAAATATTGAATGAAAGACCTCGAGTGATCGCATCCCAAGTTCAACACGCGTGGGATATGCCCGAAAATACTTTTGGAGGGGCTTATGCTAAGTTCATGGGCTCTCGTAACTTTTCCCCTGATGACAGACCACCAGTCCGTTTCGTGGAAAGCGAGGAGTTAGCATATGTCGCTCAACGCGCTAGAGAGGTACTCATTTGTGCTTGATCCATGCCATCGAGAATTTTTATGCCTTAGACGTTTTACGGATTGCACTGTTGATGTCTCTGATGGATCTTTATGTCTTGTCATATCGTATATGGGTTCTTTCATTTCTTCCAGTTCTGACGACACGGAAGAGATTGCTGAAACGCCAAATCTGGCATACTTGCAGGTTCATGACTTTTGGCACGTTCTTTTCAACTGCCCAACAAGTGTTGTCGGTGAGCTAGCACTCAAAATGGTAGAGTTTCAGCAAACATTATTGCCTATGTGTTTCCTCTCCGTTGCCGGAGCATCTTGGCGTCTTAAATCTGAACAGCGAGCAGCGCTTTTCAAACATTACGGGCCATGGGCAATGAGGGCTGGCAGATCTGCCAGGGACCTCATGTGTATCTATTACGAAAAGCATCTTCATGAGGATTTGGATGAAGTTCGCAGTAAGTGGGGTATAATTCCTGCCCCTCTAAGGCCCAAGAAGAAAGTTGTGTAGATAGGCCTATTTCATTCCAGTTTTAGGATTTAATCAGTAGAATTCTACAGCACATACTAGGGTCTGGAGAGTGGTGTATTGAATTTATAAGACATGACCATTCTCATTATCAGCAATTATGCCATAACGATCCTGATTGTGCACTCAGGACGAAGCTTGACCTCCAAGCTATCAGATGACGTGCTTCTTAGCAAGCATTTGATCCCCCTGTTAGCTTGCACAAGTCTTCCAAATTTCACACTAGCTGAAGTTTTCTGATTTCTGTTAGGCTAACCAAGTACAAATGCAAATTCAGATTCGTTATAATTCTTCATTGTTTGATTGTGGAGTGCTCAGGTTATGCTCTGTACAGCGAACAGTTTCCATAATTGTTTTTTCAAAAATTAGAGGGTAGGTTGGAGAATCGTTCTGGGAGGACGCTAAAAACGTGTCGAATTCTGGTGTACATTTTTTTTGTAGGATCCAATTTAAAGAGGTTATATTTCTTTATTTTTGAGATTCACTCGACTGGTGAGTGGAACATAGGGGTATATATTTTCTTTGTAATAAGGGATTGAGGCTTTGCACTCTTTTCAAAAGTGAACAAACTTTCAGTGAGAAGTTTTTATTTATTTATTTATATTTTAAAGTTAGCGGATTTCTATTTATTGTAATTTTATTAGAACATATGTATTTTCTACTTGTATGTATTTTTCACTATTTACTTGGCTTGATGTTTGCAAATGTGAAAATTTTAGTACATAATGTCAAGAGTGCCAAATTTGTTTTTCAAAACAGAAAATAAATGAAAATGAATCACCTACTAAGAATGGTTTACAATGTTGAAATGGCTTATAGATTAACATTTTATGACTGTAACTCCAACTTTACATTGGATTTTTTTTAAAGATCTTCAAAATCACCTTAAACATGTAATTTTTTTAAAATCAAAATAATTTGTTATTAATTTTGAAATTTTATTGTTTGCTTTAAAATTAACATATGAAATCTTTTTAGAATCTTTTACTTCTCTTTCTATAATATAACAATTACCACTATTATTTCTAGTTAATTATTCGCTATTTTCTAGTTATTTTTACAGGTTAACATTAACTTTTTAAAAAAAGAATCTTAGTATGACTAATTAATTTACTTTTATGTTTACATATCTTAATTTCATGTTTTTACTTTAAGTATGTCTATATCAACCTATAACTTTTATTTTATTTAATAGTATTGCATTTAGATTTAGGAATTAGAAAACTAAGTATCAATAAGATAAAATACCATTTAATAACAGATTTATGTTTGGAATACAAAACAAATACTTTAAATTTAAAACATGATAATTTTTTTTTTGTTAAATCTCTATCTTAGAACTTTGTTTTAGATTTTTCTAATTGTAATTAACATTTTGAAATTAGATATTCATAAAATGTATTTACAACTGTATACCACTTTCATTGATATAACTATATTTACAAAGATATCAAATTTTGTCAATTCAAGAAGTCTTGTATCTATCTCTAAGATATATCTAAAATTCATGGCAGCTTAAAAAGTCATTTTAAATCCTAAACCTTATACTTTCAAATTCAAAGTCATCTTCTGTTATTTTAAAATATTTTATTTAACTATTGCTCACTAAATTGTTTAAGATTAGAATCGAGTTTTATTTTTATATTCAAGTTTCAATAATAACATAATCTTTTTGAGGATTTTATTGTCCTTACTAGTTCATAATCTTGCAATGCACATATTACTTTCTACAAATATTAAAGCATCAACTCAAGAAATTGATTTCTATCTAAGGATGTAGTTTTAAGTTGCTAGAGTAAAAATGATGTAAGATACAATCTTTTTAAGGATTTTATTGTCCTTACTAGTAATAGTAAAAATATTCTTTTTTAAAGCCTATTATACCTAAAGTTTTAATTAGTTTAATTTAATTATTTTATTTATAGATTATTTTTAGCTGAATAAAGCATGTGAACTAAATTTAACTCATATATTTGTAACTAAATCATGTTTTGTTTGGCAACTTCACATGTTTCATATTCATATTGTAATCTGTTAATGTGGATTATGTTATTATTTATCTATTTACTTTTATTCAGAATTTAAAATTTTGAATTAATATAGTACAAGATGGTCCAATTATTATTACATAATTTTTTTCTCATAACCAAATTAGATTATTGTTAAATATAAAAGAGCTAGTGAGAATAGTTTTAAACTATATAATAAAAAATATTTTAAATTTATAATAGTGTATTATTTTATAATTATTAAATTTATAATAGTGTATTATTTTTAATAACTATAACTAAAATAATAATTATTCGCTATTTTAAAATAGTAAATAAAATAATAGCGAATCTTTTACTTCTCTTTCTATAATATAACAATTATCACTATTATTTCTAGTTAATTATTTGCTATTTTAAAATAATTATAAACTAAAATAATAATAGTGTATTTTAGTTTAAATATTAACTTAAAAAATAATTTTTGATTTAATTTCTTCTTATATTATTTAAAGAGAATTATTTATTTATTTTTATATTTTTTAGTATCATATAATTTTTTTAAATAAGGAAAGTTGACATGCTTTGTTAATTTTGAATTTGATTTATTTATTTTTATCCTTTTGTAGTGTGTATTATAAAAAAAATCATTGTGTATACAGATTTGTATAGTCATTGGCTTGCATATTGTTATAAAGATTTTAAATTTGGAACCACCATTCAATTTATTCATTTATTTAGTTATTTATTTATTTTGTCATATTCTTCTATCTTACTTTGTTTAATGATAATAATAAACCTTAAAATTTCGAATCAATTTTTATTTCTAAACTTAGGTTTTAAATTTTAATTTTTATTACATTTAAAAATAATAATATATCTAGCCAAAATATGTAATCTTCTCTCATATTGTGTTTATTTTGTATAATTTTTGTCTTTATACAAAACTAAAATACAAATAAGTAAATTAAAGAAACTAATTCTTTTAATTCTTATATTTAAAATAATGTTTAAGTGTATTCCTAATTCCAAAAGATATGACATACACTTACTTACTTCAAAATAATTCTAATTATATATGAAAAAAAAAAACATTAATTTATGCTAGAAAGCTAGATTAGATTAAATAATATTTAATGAATTTGCGCTTAAATCTCTTAAAAACTAAGTGTTTATATTCTAAAATCTATTCAATTGTTGGCACTTATCTTAATTTTGATATGCATTTCTTTATCTAAGTTAAATAAATGTAGTTAAGTTGAATAAGTTGAGTTGACACAATTGACAATCGAGTAAAAATTCATTTAATTCAACAAATTTGAATTAAGTTACTTGATATAGTGAATTTTTTTAAAATATCTATTTTTAAATTAAGATTTTCTATTAATAAATATATAAAGTGAGATATTATTATCTACTTTTACTACATCTCTAATTCATTGGCTAAATTAATGGTTCTTTTACTATCTCCCTATTTATGCCTTCACTCTTCAATCAATGTCTTCTTGGTCTTAATTTGACTAATACCAAGTGTTATGGTGGCTATCAATCATCATCTCAAAACTTTATTTGGCAAGATCTAAGTATTGTCTAGAAGTCTAAAATATATATTTTTAAATATTTCTATTGGCCGTTTAAAAAAGAATTAAATTATAATTTTTTTTTTTTAAAAATGCTTGCCATTAATTGTTGCTACAATATTGCAAAATTAACCAAATTTTAATTAATTTTAAAATTTTTCAAAAAAAATTGTAACATAATTTAATGTTTGGTATTTAAAGCATCTGAACTTTATTTAAATTATTTAACAAAATCATGTACTTGATTATACTTTAAGTTCTAAAAACTTTTTTTTTAAAATTGTAATTCTTCATACAAATCTTTGATTTTTTTGCAAATTTTAAAATCAAATTCTTATTTATTTTTATTTTTATTTATTTATTTTATTTTATTTTATTCCAGTCAACAGAATCTTTAAACTTAATTGGCTATATTGTGCAGATTCTACTTATTTTTTATTCTATTTTTTTCCTATATATCTTCTTTGTAAAATCAAATATTCTCCAACAACTTTTTTAAAACTAATGTGTTATACTTTTAAGGATTTTGAGCATATCTTGAGATTTGTTTTTGTATCTTGAACTTATTCTTTGATCTGATTAGTGTCACTTATTATAGAGTATTAATAATTTATAGAATCTCTTTGCTACTTATCAACCTGAAGAGTTGTGTATTCGGATTATTATTTTTACCAAATTAATTATAATATAAGTAGCTTATGTGCAATCTTTAGAAATATACTAATAGTTTGGTACTCAAGTACATAGTTGGTCAGTAATTTTTAGAAGAAGAATAATTATACCAACTTTCAACTAACAAATTTTAGTATTAATCTCTAAACCAAGTTGTATATTAATATTATTAATATTTTTTTTCTAATATCTCAATTTATTTTAGAATTAAAAGACTATCCATAATAATTCAACACGAGTTTCTAAGTTTTTGGGTATAATTTAACATCCACCACAACTATATACTAAAATACTTCATTAATCTATATATATATATATATATTTATTATTTATATCTTTTACATAATTTTATTCTACAACTTTGATTTGTCTAAAAAATAAGAGTAGAGATAATTAATTTAAAAATGACTTAAATCTCCTACAACTCTTATATTTTAGAAGAATTATTATAGTTACATCTAAAACTCTAAAAATAATTTGTACCTTTGATAATTTTTAGAAACTTACTCAATCTTATTGATTATAATAATTTTTTTTACAATTTATTTAATTAGATAAAAAAATTCTAAGTTGTTAAGTCTTTTTCAATGTTTTATTATAATTAGCCTTCTTTCGAGAATCTAAGTACTACTATCTTGAAACATATTCAATCATTAAATCATTCTTTAATTAAATATTAATCTTTTAAAATTAATTAATTTAATCAATCAATTAGATTAATAAGATTGGACAAGATTTTACTTTATCATGTGATTCTTTATGTTGAAGTGTTTTACTTTTGAAATTAAATATTTCTATTAAACTTGATAAATAAAAAAATATCAACTTTTATTTTATAGCTAGTAATATAAGTATGATGGTCTTTCTCAATTTTCTTATATATTTTTTAATTACTTACTTATTTCTTTTTATAGAATCTTATTTTTATTTGACTAATCATATATATGTACAGTGACAAACAAAATCGAGTACAAAATCTGAACACTCATAATTCATTGATCCTTCCAACTGACACATAAATCAATTGATAGAATTACTTTTTTATTGTGTGTATTCATCCAGTCCTCTATATGGATGAAAAATCTCATTATCATTTGAGGTAGGGTTTATGAAAAAAGTGTTGTAGAAGCACACAAACGTGCGTACTCAGTTTTGGTTGCTTCTTCTTACTGAATTTCGAAATTTCAATGTACACTCCTTGTTGCAAGATTTGAGGGCATTTTTTGTTTGTTGTGTTGCTCTTCTTGTGTACTATCTATAGTGAAAGTTGATTTGTCAATTGTATCTCTATGCCTCGGTTGTGTGAATCATTGAAGCATCAAGCATTGGTGCAGCTTAGGAGTGGTGTTTCTACAAGAAAAGTTGCAGACTCACTTGGAATGAGT